ATTGAGAACAACCTGGGGCCTAGTAGTGAACCTTGAGGGACACCATATTTAACTTGTAAAGTGGGTGATTGTACTCCTTTCAGCTCTACGAATTGGTGCCGGTTGGATAGATAGCTGTTCAACTCTCAAGGAGTTTACCGCTTATTCCACAAGACTGCATTTTGTAAAACAGAATTTCTGGACAGACGGAGTCAAAAGCTTTACGGAAATCTATAAAAATTGCACCAATACTTTTCCTTCGTCCATGTAATGTTTCCAAGATTCAGTAGGGTACGAATAACAATAAAAGTGACTTTCTATAACCCCTGACTGATTTTGGTACAGGACTTCATTAAGGTGTAAATCAATAGTGTCACATAGAACTGATTCTGCTATTTAGTAGGCAGTCTCGGCTCTTTTGAGAGTCTTGTAATGATAGACGTCTATGTTAAGGTCATCTTGGTCATCCACCCAGACGTTTAGAGAAAAAAACAACAACAAAGCCGAGTCTCTTTTCGACTAAATTTTAACGTCTAGGCTAACGTGGGTAACAAAGAAGGACCGAAGCGTGAGAAGAAAAGAAAAGGAGACAAGTTTCGTTAGAAACACAACATAAAAATTTTATAGCGGTGGTGAGAAAATGGAAATGTTAACAGCCAGTAAGGAGGAAATAAGTGGCAGTGAAAAAGAAAGCGAATAGGAACACAAGCAGTCAATTTTTGGGCAGAACATACAACATTTCCTCCGTAAAAGTGTAACTAGAAAGTTTCACGTTGTAGTCGTGTAACAACAATAGCAAAGAAATGTGCAAAAAGGAGTGCTGCACGTGCAAAGTCGTTTTTTTTTTTTTGCTAACTGGACCTATCATTGTTGCTGTTGTTGTTGTTGTTGCTTTGTTTGTTTGTTTGTTTTTTTTTTGGCCGTTTTCAATGCCATCGTCGGTTAGCATTACACGATTTTATTTTTGTGTAAGTAAATTATAAGCATAGTTGACATTATATTTACGCACGTTATTCATTGACGTAGGTCTCATGTCTTGACTGAACGCTCAAATGGACCACTATTTCGATACATTAAAATTCGTACTTGGCTCCAAGTCTTGGAGGAATAAGACAGAAGAAATGCACACTATTCATTCCTGAGCCTTATGATGTTTTATTTTGTTTCATTCCCCTAAGATTTTGCATATTTCTTTCTCATTGTAGCGCAAAGATAAAAGGTAAAGAGTCCTTATCTTACGATGGTAACTCGAAATAGTCTTTTGACTAACAAACCTGAGGCCGAAGGTGCGCTCATTGTTCCAACATTGTAACGCTGTATTCCGCTAAAAATCGTCCTTGCAAATCGTCCCGTGTAACATCACCTTAACTAAGCCAGACGTCGAACTTTTCATGAACTTAACTCACTGAGTTCGACGTTTGGCCTGGGCCTAAAGGTGATGTTACACAAGATGATTCGCAACAACGATTTTTAGCGCAACACAACTTTGCAACATTGTTGCGACATTGTTTCGAAAAGTTCCGACAACGTTCCAACAGTGCCGGCAACCCTGTGTTGCGTTAAAAATCTGGCCGAAACTTTATTTTTTCCAAAACTTTAAAACTGGAAACATCATATGGAAAAACTTATTTCCTCACAAGTAGGGTCATTTTATCCATGTACCCTCAAATTCTTTTTAACGTTTTCAATAAATCTCCAGGTTTTTCACTGACTTACTACAAAATTTGAGAGAGAGAGAAAAACTGACTCTGTGGGGTTAACACTTCTGGTAAACCAAACGTTTCATTGAGGCCCACAAAGTTAAGAATCCCAACTGGCCGAGGCAAACCCAGGCGCGGATTCAGGATAAATATTGACCGATTTCCTGAGAACGAGCACCGAAGGTGCAAGGTTCTAGTGGGATGCAGGGGCATGCTTCCCCAGGAAATTTTCTGGGTTCTGAATCATTCAGACAGGATATTGGCCAATTCCATTCTCCTCGGATAACGCCCTACAAATCGGCGGATTTTTTCATCTCTCGATTTCAACTTGGAGAGGTTTTTCATATTAAAAATATATTTATCATGAAAACTCTGGCTGATTTCCGTAAAACGGTGGAAACCGGTGTGGATTCACTCCTGAAACCAGTGACTTAGCTGGTAAGCGCTCTAACCGGATCGGCCACGCTGTCTCCTCCAACACATTGCATGAATTTTATAACTATCGGTAGATCTTGTCCCAATCTTCATGATACCATTCAAATCGAGTCTTTCTCCTTAACTTTAGGGTCTTTAGGGATGAATGTGAAACTAAATGTATTTTTCTTTGGGAATGCAGTATATTTTTTCCTGAATAACCGTAGAGCAGTCTTCAACTAATTTACAACGGAAATCAGAACCAGGTTCTTGGTTTTTCTTGGAAAAACATAGTACGCCAGCGTCACACTAGCCTGCGTGGCAGGGGTTTGAAAGGGAAGGGAAAGGGAGTTTTAGGCGCGAGAGAAACGCGAGGGGCGCGTGGTCTCGCGCCCTAATTCCCTTTCCCTTCCCTTTCGAACGCCTGCCACGCAGGTTAGGGTCACACATCAAAATTTTACAGGTGAAGAACGCAATGCCCATGAGAAAAATTTGTCTCCTCGCTTAGTTAGGATCAGTTAACTAGGAAAAAGCTCGTATAAATGGTCGCATCAGTCTTTCATCTTGTTGGCCTCTTATTTCTAGTCTTGGACTCGTTTTCGTGTGAATGGTGTCATAAGGAACCCAGAAGATGTGACCCACTTATCAAGAAGGTCGGAAATTGCCTTTTTTTTAGCTTGAGAATACAGCCGTCATTTAATGACGCTACCAGCGAAAAGAAATTTCATGGGGGAACCCGTGTGTGGTGGCGTTGGGAAATGTCGACTGTTTTCGTCAATTGTAAGCAACTTTTTTCCCATTCCGCGGCCTGCCGCTTAGTCTTAAAATAACGCATGCATCCTAGGCGTCCATCCACACTTTTGACATCGGCTCATTAAGAATATTCTCACAACGGCTATAACTTGTTTAAAAATTCAAATTTTAGGCATTTTGAATATCCAATAAGCATAATTGTATTTTAAATCTTTATCTTTAAGAGAAATTGTTTAAAATTCGCAAACCATATTTTCAACCCTTCTGGATTTTACAAGCCTATCTTCGGAGCATGAGCCATGAGAAAGAATACGTCCCTTTAACCATTAACCCCTAGCTTCGCACTTTATTTTTAATGCCGATAGATGTAAATAGCAAGGTTATGACATTAAGATTCAGAATTCATAATGGCGAAGAATACTATTACCCTTCAAGGTTCGCGTTTTGACTGAGTATCGAGAATATAGAGAATACTATAAAAATCGCACAAATACAAATACAACTTTTTACAAAGTAAAAGCTGGAAACTTACTTGTCCGCAGATCGTTAACTGACCAGACTTCGAATACTTGTAAACAAGAAATGTTGCCCTAACTCGGGTCTCAAAGTTGTTTGCCAGTTACGGCAGTGAATCAATCAAACTAATGACGAAAGTAGTATAAAGAGATATTAAATTGCTTTTAAAAATAGCGACCCAAGTAGTTCACGCGAGCGAATCTGGCGACCGGAGTCTTAATGGCGGAACAACGCATACACCATTAGTTACAAACACCTGAATGATTGGTGGACTGAGCGAGGTGTTAATTATGTTAGCTCTATCAAAACCGTTTCTACTGGTAATAAATCTCCCAACAGATGATTTCAAAAGTCAGTTATAAGTAATGACGATAATACAACAATAGCGAGCTTTTAGCAAAGTACATTTAAAAGCCCAAATCCATTCTCAGGGAGAGTTGTCAACTCAAGCTAGCATTTAGTGTTTGGTGAAGTCTAGTCCGTTTTTACTCAAAATTGTTAACTTGATAAAGCATTAGAGAGAAGCCACTTCAGTGTTATAGAAGATCGTTAACTAAGCCGGGTGGTTTAACCGACATTCGGAAGATAAATTACATAACGGACAAATCAGCTGTATACAGGCTTAGGCCTCTTCCTGACCAAAGTCCGAATTTTTTTTTAAAAAAAACGCGTCCACGCAAAGCGTATTCGAATCTTTTTCGCTTGTCTTGGCGTTTCCGAAAAACTCCACTCTGGGGCCGTTTTCGAAAACTTGCGTTTTTGTAGACTACGAGAAACGCGAGCGTGCGTGTCGCCTTTTCTCGCGTGGGGTGATTTTCATGCGCGCTCGCGTTTCGCTCGCTCTACTATCCCTGAGGAAAAATGGGGGACTACTCGTAGTCTAGCGTTTTTGCTGCCCGAAAACACCGTTTACGTATAGACGGAAGTCTAAAACAGAGAAAATATCACCGTTTCTCAAACATATCTTTATACGTGTAGACGAGGATTAAGCGGGGTAATTCCAGAAATCCATAAACGAAAAGCACTTCTTACACATAGGGTTCAATAACAGTAATGAAATTAAATAGGCCGACGTGTTATGTTCACTGTCAGAATGAATTATTAGTTCAGTTCTTTGAATATATTAATAATGAAGATAACTTTGTAACAAATAATAACAAAACGCAAAAAGACGCAAATTGGTCAGCATAAAGAAAACAGTAAACGAGTTTCAGTTATTTATTTTTCTACAGGTGTGGGGTCATTTACAAAATATGTCAACTGTCTTTGTTCGTACACGAGTAAAGCAACAACTCATGGCACTACATTACACAAATATAAAACAATTCGCCAAAACGTTCTGGTTAGGCTGATTATTAAAGGACTGTACTCATGAAGCACTTAGAAACCTCTACCATCACACACCAGGTATTGGGATTAGCAAAGTTATTTGCAGGTCATTTATCTACTCTCTCGTCCGCTAATAAACTTTATTCACGGGGCCCGCCATCTTTGCACGCGCTCAAGGACTGATGGGATAACAGCAATGAGGTGGCAAACAAGTGAAAAAATTGCTAATGCAAGAAATCTTGTCGAGTTTGTTTATTCCAGACAACAGAATAAACCAATTCGACCGTGATTACTAAATATTAGCAAATTTTATCACTTGTTTGCCCCACTGAAAAACCACATGACATTGCTTTAATCCCATCGATCTTAAAGCGCCTGCAAAGATGACAGGTTGGGTTATAAACAACTTTGCGAGCTTCAAGGCGTCCCCTATTAACGAGATGGCGTTAAGTGATAGCACAGCTCTTATTCCACGTCAGACGAGCAAATACCACCGCCAAGCTTCATTCTTCGCATTTGCACTCTGTACGTGGACATCCTTTTAACTCTACTGCCTTGAGAATTTGCCTAGGAATCATGGCAAATTTAAAGTTTCAAAACGAAGCTTGGTGGCGAAATTTGTTCGTCTTACGTTAACATGGATAAGTGGTATTTGATGTGCATAAATAAAACCTGAACAAAAACAAAGTCTCTGATTAGGCCAGATATTCTACTATTCTCAGCGATTCTACTATTCAATGCAAGAAATCTTCTTGATTAAAGCTAAGTCTTAGAAACTGCTTAAAATACAATATGGGGAAATGAACGGTCTTCTTATTACTGCTACTCTTGTTGTTGTTGTTGTTGTTGTTGTTGTTGTTCAAGCTTCCTCTAACCAACCACCTGCTATCTTACACGGAGAAATAAAACCTGTCTTATCAAGTTAACGACTGCACACCGGTAATCTCAGGCTAGCGCCTACCAACAGAAAGCTAAAACGAAAACGCCATTTTCGAGTTTTCTCTAGCCTCTTTTAGATAACGATGCTGAATGCAGAGTCTTTGATACAAAAACAGTTTTCTGTTCTCAGAAACTGGGACGTACGGATATTTATTCGCGAGTTGCAAAACTTCGGAAAGCGAACGAATAATTTCTTAGGCCTTTTGTAACAAAACGTGAGGTGGAAACGATTTTTTTTTAATAAAACTTTTTTCTCACATGCGCTCCACGGAACCATTTTAAGAGCTAAGCTACGTTTGGTTTGACGATTCTACTCTAGAGCTTTTCGGCTTATATATTTCAGACAGAGAAAAAACCTAAACAGGAGGCCGATTGGGACAGATGTGAAATGTAACACTTAGAGAATCCTATTTGCAAAGTTCAATACATGAAATGCATGCTATACATATAATAAATCTCCTTTTCACATAGAAGGTTATGAAGGTTTTAGAACTCAGTAATGGCCTATCATGGGCCGATCTTTATCCGTATTGAACGGCACTGCCAACCGACGCAGAGCTGTTTAATCATCTGCTTCACTATCGCCGCTCTCTTCATCTCCGCTTGCCGCCTCTCCTACGCTGATCTTGAAGGGATATTCCTGATCGCAGCCCATGTAAGTATCACACATGAAAAACAGTGTGTAGGAGTAGGTACCGGGTGAACTCGGAGCCACAAAATCGAGTTTGACTTTGGCTTTTTGCTGGAGTGTCAAACGCTTGATGGAGATTAGCCTACGAAGCAAATTACAAGCACTCTGGTTAAAAATTCTCTTTGATTTGTGGATCTGTATACCATATAGGTGAATCTTCACATGTGACTACTTTCTTCCTTTCGGCAGCGGCCAACTCAGTAAGGCGAATGACTTCTCACATGGACAAGATTTAGGGGGCCATCTTGAAAGGTGCGCCCCGAATAAGACTGTTTCCGAATTATAAGGTTACCGGATACCTTCAGGGGTGTCTTACGTGCAAGCGATGTAGTGAGCGAGCGCCTTTTGATCTACTCTTAATCCGGCATTTTTTCTCCCTTTTTTAATTTTGTGAAGAACCCTCACGGTTGCAATAACTATGCCGTTATGTGCGGCGTTCATTGGAGGAAAGCCCCTTCGCCGGTCAATAAAAAGCAGTAACCACTGTCTCTTACCCGTTGCTCTTAGTGTCACCAACCACTAGCCACCAGCCCTCCTCACGCTTTCCAGGAAAGAACGGTGCAATCACAGGGCCTGATTGCTCCTCTTCACGATCAAGGTCCACAATAACGTTCACAGGAGAGCCCCTACAAATAAAGATCCATCAACATCAAGTCAGAGATAGTAACTGGTGACTAACACTTTAAACAATTCGTGTTTTTTTCGCCAACTGCTGTCCACTACATAAGCAATTTGATTTAAGCCGATGGCAGGAGTCTCCACTGAGTTGCTACGGAGGTTTAGCTGAGGCCGTTAATGACTGCTTGTTAGTTTGCTTTTCCTGGTTTGTCACTGTTTTTTCTTTTCCTTTTAGGACATTATTAAAATTTCTTATCTTAGACTACTAACTGCCAACTTACGCAGTGATGTTATCTTTGTCGTGAACTTCAAATGACAATTCAATGTTGGGGTAACGATTGCAGAACCTGGCAACATCCTGAAAAAAAAAACAACAATCAATGACTTACAAATAATTGTTTCATTCTCACAAAGAAAATAGCGCCAAGCTGATGCTCCGTTGAACAGCGACAAAATATTTATTAGATACACTCAGAAGAAGGACAATAACTAGAAACGTCCGCTTCTTTGCAAATGAATCCAAATCTTGTAATTCGGTCTCCTAGTTTTAATCACCCCGGAAAGTTTCAGTGTACTTTTTTTCCCAGAAAAGTTACCACTACTATAATGTTTTCCCGCCAAAACGATGCTGGTTCACGCGCGCACAACTCAGTATTGAGAAAGTCGTCTTGAATCCAAAGGTCGCTAATGTCGAATTCATAATCTTTGTAATGAGAGCGCGTCCTCACCTGAATCTGATTATCATCAAGCCTCAAAAGCTTGTTTCTTTCCTCGTCTTCCAAATCCATGATATCGAACACTGACTCCACACCCTACAGAAAAACAATATATAAGAATATAAGAAGACAAACATGTGAAAGTTTCTTTATCTTTCTTTTACGCAAAAGGGCTTCTTTGAGAAAGAAAACACAAAAATTATTAAGTACGAAACGACTCTCTATCCTACTATACGCTGTTGTTTAAGTACACACTTTTTTCCCCCAGCTCTTGCATGACGCTGGCGGGAAGTTGGCAATGAGACAGGCCGGAAAGGTTGAGTAAAGGTATAATTTCGTCCTTGTCAGAGTTCTCTCGTAACAATTACCTCTACCTTCTCAGTTACACCTCTTTCTACAACATTCTCCACTTTACAACACCACTGTTAATTTGAACCCGACAATGACAGTTTCAAGAGCCAAAGGTGAAAGGCGAGAACAAATAGAGTATAACTGCTCTGGAATACCTTGTCCGTGCATCGTTTGATTATTTCCGCGGTGAAGTGAGGAATTTGTTTGAGGTAAGAGTCTTTGCTCCACATGGCTTGCGTAACCTAAACAAATACAAAAGAACTTAGTTTACAGCAGGCTGATTGCCTTTTATACGCTCTTTTCATTTCTAAGGCGTAGTCGTGCTGCCTTTCATTCATCCGAGTGATCGCCATTTCAGCCAGTACTGGGGGCAAAAAGGGATTCACTTAGCCCACGTTGTTTTCAGCAAGAACTACTGACTGCCCCCCAAAAAATTCAGACTGAATGATTGTGAGTCCGCTACTTAAATTTCGGCATCTGAAAATGGCAGCAACGACGACAAGATTCAACCGCTTTACATTCTCAGAGAACACTACACTTCATACAGATGCAATCTGTGGGAAAACGAATTTGACTGAGTTGACATACCATTTGAGCAAGTTCCATGGCAGCGAGGGCAGGAGAGAGCCAACCATTGCTACTGAGCACATCAACACACGCTTGCACAAGACGCATGGCCTGGTAGAAAAAAAAGCAAGAAAAATATATCACATACATTACAATTTAACATTTCTCTGCTTTGATATTATCAGGCAAGGCGTTCCAGAGGTTGCATAAACGATTGACGCTGAACGCGTAACGCTGAAGTTAAAGACGTGAGCTACCTCTGCGTGAATTAGCATTGCAAAACTGGACATAGTCGTTAATATTAAGACAAAAAAAGCCACAGTTCATCAAAGAAAGAGAGAAATAAAAAAGGAAAGATCAGCATACCAAAGCAAGTATTTTTCTTAGTATATGAGTACTTTTTAAGACGACGATTTTCACTGAATTCGGCTACATAACTTTACTATTTATCCTCACTCATTCATGTGTTTCCCATGCGGAGCAGAGGACGATTCCTTTCAGTATCTATGCATTTCTTCGTCCCTGTTTGTGTATTAGTTCACTTACTTTGCCAAGGATGGTTTCCGTGTCTGACTGCATCTCAGCTGATAACTGCATCCGGGACATATGAGCCTGTATCAGCAGGTTTGTCTTTACATGCGGGTCATTGAACTTGGCATTGGTCACTTTGTGAGGTACACGATTCATAAGCTAAGAGACAAACACAGTTTGTAACGCAGTTAGCTTTGCTTAACCGAATGATCAGCATGAAATTTCTCCTTGTAACTGTCAATACTATACAATACAGAGTGGTCATGAGAATAATGAGGACATGATCACAGAAGATGAATCTAAATTCTCTCCACTACTTCTATTGAAACGTATGAGCACAACAAATGAGAATATAAATTTTGATATTAGGGTTTGAAGGGTTAAAAAGGCTGTATCACGGTTGTCTAATTCATTTTGTTAACAACGACCCTTCCGCTCCCTTATTCCTTATGGTGCTTTAGAAATTTCTTGTGAATGTCGAACAATTGAGTCTCCAAGAGTTATATTTGTCAAACTTTACAAACAACAAAAATGAACCTTTGAAAAACTGTTCGGCTAACAAGCTTTCAAACACCAAAATACACCATTCAGGTCTCCTCGTCTGGTAATGTTTCCCGCTAATTAAACACGACTGAGGTCCTGTCCACGTGTACTCGGATATTTTTGAAAACGGAGATTTTTTCTCCGTTTTCGAAAAAATACGCGTCCACACGAAGCGTACTCGAATCGTTTTCGCTCATCCAAACGAAAACGCTAAAACTGTAGAGATACGACAGCATCTCTTGTGGGGCATGCGCTGCATGACGTATTCAAAAACCTCCATTTTCGTCCGTCAACACGAAAACGATAAGCCGGCGTATTAAAAAAAAACAGGTTTTTGGTGCCCGAAAACGCCGTTAACGAGTGGAAGAAATTCTGAAACGGAGAAAAAACCTCCGTTTTTTAAAATATCCGAATACGCGTGGACGAGGCCTGAGTGCATAAAACACCTTAGGTTGCACTGACATTACAAAATGCTTGTAACAAAATATTGAGACTGTTACTCACTTGTTTAAGGGTAGCGTCCTCGTGATGCCTTATGGGAAGCCTTTCATATTCATAGGCGGAAGAGATGATCTCAATCAAACCGCGCAGTTTGGTCTTAGCATTCAGAGACACACTAAACAGTTCTATAAGATTGACAGAACAGAGAAGATGAGGTCCAAGCAATAGCAAGAATTAAAATCCAGAGAAAATAAAAACTGACGAAACAAAAGAAGAGTCGAACATCCATCAAATACAAGAAAAATCCCGAATTATTTTTCACAATACCAAAACAAAAACCAGACATGCCGAAGAACAACCAAAGAGGATTTATTTAAATGGTCAATCCAAGCAAGAATTGCAATATACTCTGTCATTAAAAAACCTATATACAAATAAATAATAAAACTCAAGGGGTTACTCAAGAGTGAGCGCCTGAACCAATTGTCAGTTGTTTAGCCCAAGATTTCCGATCTCGTTAAATAAGAAGTCTAAGAAGGCGCTGGGCCTTGTATTTTCAAAAGTACTTGCAAGAAGCGGTAAAGGTGACCAAAAATTGATTCTTACCAATAGTAGTGTAATTAATGTAGTAATAAGCAGCAATCATGCCCAGATTCAATGGAGACACGTCCATTTCATCCTCAATGGATACACACTACAACAATCAGAACAGGCGAGAAATGATGAGTCAGCCCAGTCAGGTCAGGAAACCTTCTCTACTTTAAGTCAGTTTTGTTCCAAAAAATTTGAACAAAACCGTGTTTATTCGTCATAACAGTCACCCCTTTAAGTGCTAACATACACTAATCGCATCGCAAAACACATTACAGAGACAAAATTGTTTAGTTTTTGGTTGTCTCGGCAGATAAGTAGAAACGAGAATCTCACATGCTTAAACTTTGAATACCGTGTTTGATGAGCAATTTTGCCGTCGCTAACATCATATTCCCATCAACTATTCTTGCTCAGAAGAGAGCAACATGAGCCATTTTGAAGTTACAAGTAAGACTGGGTGGGCGTTGAGTCGAATTGCTCTGTGGGTGTGTTTGGAGACGCGAATTTTGACTCAGTTTCCCGACTCCCTCGTAATAGCCAAAGAAAAAAGATAGCGTCCCCAAAACAGTCGCAGTCCCGTCTTCCCTAAAACGTCAAAGCGGCCAAAAGGAAAGGAACTGTTCGCTTTATTATTCACCAACTAGAGGTTTTGCAGATTTTGTAAACTAAAAGTAATACACTTGGAAAAATAACAGTTAACTATACCTTGGACTGCTGCAAATCATTAAGTGTGTTCTCTACCATGTCCGACATGTGATCAGAGAGATGTCTATGGGTAACTCCTGTGGGTGATAAAAATATTACATTGACCACACGAATAAAGAGATCCACTCCTTCGAAAAGACTGCCAGATACCTAAAACGGCCAAGCCAATTTTGTACCCAAATCTACGCATACTGAGCGCAATTCAGCTCAATTAGTACAACAAAGCTGCGGTTTAATCATGCTTTAAACAAACGCAAACACAACATGCCAGAGATAAGTATTATTTACGCAGGTGTCAGTTCGAACCATTACCTTGTAAGTTGTAGTAGTTTGGGTTCTGTGTCATTCTGCGGTAAAGGTAGGTCCATGTTAAATAATCCACTGCATCTTGCTTGTTCTCAATCGTCTTTGTTACCACTTCAGCGTTAAAATGATCATGAAGACAATGATCCAAATGCGACTGAAACAGCAAGAGTCCGCATTAGATATCTACTCCATAACCTTAAGGAAACTGTATACCAGCGTAAGGTATAAGGGATTCTGGGATCGTTTTAGTTACTAGATAGCAAAGCATCCTTTACAAATTTTGTACGAAAACGCGACAACAAACTTTTTTGGGTGAGTAAATGCGCGAGACGAGACAGGCTTTTCACTTTTTCCCAGCCTTTGGAAGACAAAATACGTTTTGTGTTTTGCAGAGTTACTGCTGTAGAGTCTTTTCCTTGGCGTGTTACATACTAACCTCGATAGGCAGAGGCTCATAGAGGAATTTCTTGAAGTATTCTTTTTTGGATGCTTGACAGAGAATCACTGCCTTTCCTGAATCATCTAGTAGTGGCCTGTTTCCTCGGCCAATCATTTGTAATACATCTGTCACGGGATAATCCACATAACTGAAAAAGAACAAAACAAAACTGTGTCAGAAGCACTAATTCAACGCAAGGAAGTTTTCCCAGTTTTTTTTTATTTTTTATAATAACTCGATAAGGCATATAGGCTCATTGGGAAAGTAAGCAAGAAAAGTTACTACCGGACTACCGGACGGAACTTTTTTTCAAGCCCTGACTGAGATAATTTAATCACACAATTAATTCGTTCTAACCACTCATAACCCATATACGCATTCGGAAAAATGCGGAAGGTTTGGAGCTCGAGCCGATAACTAAAACTAACGAGAGCGCCAGGTTCTCAAATGAGTGCCGTTTCGTGGTTACTTTGGTCTGCACTGCCAATTTCTCAGACATTCAAAAAAAAAACTCAAAACCACGATCAAACCACGATCAAAAACATATGATATCGCGTCGAAAATTTTAAATCTTCTTCCAGTAGAAAAGTCTTAAAGAGAGAGAAAATTATCCTATCAATATAACTTTTCTCTCCCCTGTATTTTCACGCTGCCGTTACTGCATATATAGTCGTCCCGTGACTTACGCATGGATCTTGCCTTCGTAGAACTGAGTGTCCATGATGACCACAAGGTGAGCGTTCATGTTGATCGCCCAAGCAAGATTGCGCGACACAATCACCACCTGTATGGCTCCCGAGTTGAAAAGTTGTTCTACAATCTTGGTTTCAGCATCAGACAGTCCTTCGTGAAGATAAGCCACTCCATAACCCACTGTCTCTTTCAAAGTCTGAAGATTAGAAGGCAAAATTTATGAGCATTACCATCAGTTAAAAGCATTTTTTTCCTCAAAATGTTAGATCCATTTGTCAGTTACTACAAGTACTTTAAAACTTGTCATGCATACCTACTCGCGCGGTCACGCATTTTTGTCAGCTCATCGATAATTTTTCGGCGAGATGTCGGTAGCCCGCCGATCAATGCTCGATATTTTTCGGCTAGCTGTTGACTCCTAACACAGCGACACCTTAACAGATTACGTGAGCTGACCAAGATGGACGGGCGTGTCCGTGAATGTGAACCGTAAAGTTCTCGTTATTCTCTCACAAATCGAATGTTTTATTAGTTTTCCTGTCTTCATTGTTGTTTAGTCCATTCACTAAAACCTTGTATTGTAAATAAGACTTTCCTCCCCAGCCCCGCCTCGATTAGTTCCAAGGCTATTTGCGGGTGGAAAAATTATTTAATTAGTTACAATGTTGAATTTCACTTTCAAATTCAATTTGCTGTTGTTGTTTGTTCGTTGAAAGAACTTTGTAGTAAGTGGTAACAGAGTCGGCAACGCAGGAGCAACGGTAGTTTAGTGAACTAAAAACCAAGTTCCTAAAACTTGCCTTGTCGTTCAAACGTTTGATAAAAGGTTGAAGATCTTCCTCTGTGCAGTGCAGGAACCTGTTAAAGCAAAATAACCCCTCTAAGGAAATAAACTTACATATCAGTCTCTATAAAATCAACAGTTACGACTTGAATCAACACCGTTAAATTCCTGTCCTGGAATTGTGCTGGATTTTACACAAAAACCGTTTTCCACTTTTGTCTTTCCTGTTTTGTTACTAAAGTTTACATTCCCTTCTTCTTCACCTTCCTAGAATAGCAACAGTCAGGCCGCTTCCTGCGTCCGCTAAATTTAAAATTTGCCTTCCCGTACAAACTTGTTTCTTAACCCTTTCTCTCACAGTGAATGACCGAGTCTGGTAGGGTGGTTCTTTTTAGTCTGTGGATGAAATCCTATGGTGTTACCATTCAAATGAAACTTCTTCACCAGTACTTTCACATGGTACTATTTGTTCAGTATGTAGTTCTAACTTTTGAGTCTGTAGACGAAATCCTATGGTGTGACCATTCAAATATTTTTTTTTCGCAGTACTTTCGCATGGTTCTATTTGTTTTTCAGCATTCTAAGAAATGAAATTTGCAAAATTTTGTTGAATTCTAACTTTAGCCACAATTTGGAGTGAAAGGGTTAAAAAGTCTCATGGTAATTTAGCGACGGATTCCACACTGAATTGTCGTTTCTGTTCTTGTTTGTTTGTTTGTTTGGATTTTTGCATCCCAGCAGTATGCAGGACGTGTGTGGCATGAGAACCCAGTACACGAGTACACGACCTGGTTCACCACCAGTCTCTCCGCAACTCAGTAGTAAGAGCACCATATGGACGCCTGGGAAGTCATGGGTTCGAATCCCATCAAGCACTCAGATGGTTTTTAGCTCCTGCATTGTTAAATCTTTTCTGACTAGCTTACCTCTGTGCGTCATTCTCGGCTCCAGAGAAGGTCAGTAGGTCTAGAGCAGTCAGTTTGGTTTGTCTTCTGGACGGCACGAAAACAATGACAGGTTTCTTGGGTGAATGCTTTACAATTGACTGATACATAGGCTTTGTCATGGCAATTAAACGAGATGCTGTGTGAGTGATGTTGAAGCCCTGATACAAAAGGTGACAAGAAACGATTAAATACTCCTGAAATTGGAAAAAAAATGTGTGCTTAACAACGAAGATGAGAAAAGTAGTACACAACAACTGTAAAATTGTGCCTTTCATGGACGGGTTGGAAGGAAGTAACATGAAACAAAAGACATAACAAAATAAACAACACATGATTTAAAGTCCCATCTAATGAGAAGCCATCCAGATGGAATTGACAGGAAAAAAAAGAAATCCCGGTAATGGTCAGACAGCGACTCGAATGTCCAGGACGATTGGATTCCTACAATAATGCAGTTCTAGTTGCCGTTGTCGTCGTCGTGTTTAATCTCCCTATAACAGAGCGTCTGAGCCCTGATTCAGCCTTATTAGGATCATACCTGAATGTGCAGTTCAAGGGGCACTGGTCTGACGTTGGGGTGAAAGTTGAACAGGCCTGTAGCACCAACTCCCAACCACTGGGAAACGTCCTGGCAAATATCAGATAAGAAATGATTAGAAACAATTCAAACGTATGTCGACAGTCTCTAGTAGCTTAATCCTTGAACAGTTAACATTTGGAAATGAAAATCTTGAGGTGTATGTTTCGAGTTTCAAGATGACTAAATTAGGTTTTAAGACGGGAAAACGGACTGTTTGGGCTACAAAGGAAAAGCAAACCTGATATTACCCGACTCTCTGACTGATCAAACTAATAAACTTTAGGTTCTTAGTTAAGCATCAGAAACTGAACTTGTGTTCAAATCCGTTTCTCACTTAAGACTATGACTGGTTTTAATACCTTTGCATTTGCTAGCGAAGAACTCAGAGCCACAATCCGAATGTTACGTTCAATCTGTGATGAGATGTATCTCATACGAGAACAGATTACTTCCATCACAGGCTAGGAGTCAAACATGATGACAAAGATCAAAAACAAAACACAAGTTACAAACAAAATATTCTACGTTCAGCATGCAAGCGCGGGACAAAGAAAATATTTAAATTCAAAATTAAAAGCAAATTCAACTTCGATTTTTGTATTTGGAACTTGAAAATGCCATCCAGTAATAACGCCTACAAGGCAAGTGGAGGATAGGTACTCTTACGCCCGGGGTCTGAAATCAAGGTGTACTGAACTTCCCAGCTGGCAACCCAGTAACACACTCGGCCCTAGACGCCAAAAATTCCCCAGCACCTGTCACACTGAAACCACTGGACTGCGTGGAAAATTATAAGGAACAAAAAGGGAAGGATGGGGATGGAAACCTAACAATGTATAAAAAACAAGCCCGCTGTCGATAACTGAACGGTACAATGGCAATGGCAACGGTACAACGGCACGTGCAATGGCGCACGCACGCAACAACAACAAGGACCCACTGATACAAGCGTGGCCTAAAAGCGGAGTTACAGGAACTGCGGGAATGCAAAGACTCGCACAGCCCCGAAAACGCTGCTAGGCTAGTAAACGCCAGAGAACGCTAACGTCACCTGCTCTTGCTTCTAATCGTTAACTCAGTTAAATTGCATTTATCCATATTAAACAGAATTTTCGCCTGAGGTGACACAAAAAAAGTCGGCTACTTCAAAGAAAAATGACAAGGATTTGTGACATCTCTATCGGAGGACTTGGCTAACGACTTCCGAATACCAAATATGGTATGATTTGCTCAGCCTAAATCCCTTCGTAGTTTGCCAGTCACTGACAAACAAGGATAGTTACTGGCCATTCTGAAGTTGAGCTTGAGGCGGGGTCGGAGGTGTGTCAAACTGTACCCTTAAGGCTGTTTTGGCGGACAATTTCTTAGCAAAAACAAAAAAGAAAAACAGTCCCATAAAGCAATTCGACACAACATCGACCCAGTCTACCGCTTAACCTGAAAACAGCCAATAGAAAAAAAAAGAAAACAGTCCCATAAAGCAATTCGACACAACATCGACCCAGTCTACCACTTAACCTGAAAACAGCCAATAGCAAAAAAAGAAAACAGTCCCATAAAGCAATTCGACACAACATCGGCAGAGTCCTACGCTTAAAGTGAAAATAGGCAATGACAAAAAGGTTCCTTTCAGCTTACCCCTGATTCTCCACCAATCATGTGAGCTTCATCAAGGATGAATAAGTGCACATTTTGCACGTTCTTCCGCTGTTTCCACCGTCTTGACAGCACGTCCCACTGTTCTGGAGTACTGACAATCACATTACCCTACAAGAAAAAATCGGGTAGACAAATCCTATACACCTATCTCTCATTCCGCTCCGTGAGCAAATACAGTGAAACCAGGTCGAGACTTGAATGGACAATTTCAGTGAACAAATGACTGTATTTTGTCACACAAAGCCTCGACTCAGTGTTTCTGTCCTCAGAACTGAGAAGTACGGGAACGTTCTCTTCGAAAACAAAAAAATTTGGATTTACTGGTAGAGAGTATTAAGCAATTAGAAACAGAGGCAGTTTATTGCCAACATGCATAAAACACCCTGGCTTCCAGTCAACAATGACAAACATTTCCAACTTCTATTTTCCCGTGTAAAGGATACGCCGAGTAAGAAACTGAGTGCATTGTTGAATGTCTACATGAGATGATCAGATCATGCACCCAACGGTTACCTCGCTTTAAGATCGCCCCAAAATTGCAGCAAAAATCACATGAATATCGCCTGCGTTAGCCTTTAACAATAACAAGCGAAAACTTGCAACTACAATTAGGTCTAACAAAACATATCAGCACAGTTATAAAATTTGTGTTATGTCGTTGTTGTTGTTGTTGTTTTTGTTTACCTTAGCCAAAAGTTTAAGATCTGCACTAGTTTCTCCTGTCAGCATGACCACGTTCTTGCCTAGCTGATAGCCAAACTTGCTCTGCCAGTCAGCAAAGACCTGATAAAACCAAGTGCAGAAATATAGACCATTCAACTCTTATGGATACAAAATACCGTCATTACATAAAACCAACAAGTGCAACCTCATGCCGTCCTAATATCACCATGAAGAAAGTCAGGATAAAGATCATTATTTTTAATCACAGGTTGCAACGCTACAGTTCTTTCTAGCAATCATACAGACTATGAGACGCCCCTCTATTTAATCAGGTTATGTTCACTCTATACCGGATGGATCTAGCCAATAACGCATGGGGTTCCTGTTGACACCTAAGAACGGTGATTTCGGCGCGACTTCTGTAACGGAGGGAAGCTTCGCCACGCTGATCTCGAAAGTGGAGCGTCACATATCGGATGGGTTCTGTGCCCAACTTTGGTGCAGTGTGAACGGGTACTGGGACCGTAGCGAAAGTGAATAAGTAGGAGCGATGGCTGGGATCCAATGAGATGAAAGTAAATATTCAGGAGTGAGGATTGGGATTTCGTGCACCAAACCCTCCCGGCCAACCGCTCCGGCGCGATGTACGTGAAAGACTTGTTCCAGTTCTGTGCCTATACCAGATGGCTTTTCGTGTCGGCACTAAAAGCTATCCGGTATCGTATAGCCCTCGTCTGTCGAGTGAATGAAACGCGCGGGAGTAGATAAAGTCCAATTAAAACCAAAACGTGTAGAGCAGGAGAGGATTTTTCAAAATCTGGACTCAAACGGCTTATGTGGTAGACTGCAAATGCAAACGTATTTCGCTCCCTCTTTTCGTGTGGAGAGAAGCGACGAACGGAAATACATCTGCAAGTGCATGCTACGTAGTGGCCATTTTAAAGGAAAGCTACTTCCAGTGGTTGATGACGCGTTTTAGGTGTTTTTCTCTTTTTTATTCTTCAGTGGCTCTGACTTTTGAGTCTCTGAATAACCACTCCAACAAACGTTGTACTCTACCCCTGTACTCTACTGCACACCACAGACACCTAGTGTATGTGTTTTAAAACGCGACTTGCCTGATCAGCCAGCGACTGCATTGGAGTGACATACACACATCTACAGTCAGTTATCTGCTGAAGGAGTCGTAGCACCGCGAACTCTGCACAGATGGTCTTACCACTACCGGTCGGTGCACCAATAAGAACATTCTCATCAGAGTTGTAAAGAGTGTTAAAAACTGACAAGACAAAAACAAAGGCAGACTATGTAACGCTGTAGTAATAAAGTTATTCTAGTTTAATCCAACAAAAATCATTGTAGTTCCCCAATCCCGACCCTAATGTTCGCTCAATCCCGTCATCCCGATGGTTATTTTCGGGATCCCGCATCGTGTGCGTACTTTCATCCCGAATCCCAACCCTATTTTGCTTTGAAATCCCAATCCCGGCCTTCAAAACAAAGCAAATCCTGGACCTCGAAAAACTTATTGGAAATCCTAGTCACTGAAGAAAGGCGAAAACGACCGACAACATTAGTTGTATGCATTATGACAATAAATGAACCTATTAAATCACAGTGTGTATAAAAGGACAGGGCCCCACTGAGTTGTTCAAAAGGTGCATAGCACTATCCACCGAATAAATCTCTACTTACCCGCTGGATAGTGATTTATTCAGTGGGTAGCACTATCCAACTTTTGAACAACCGGGAGCTCCTCTGTACCGTTGCCCCAAAGCATGGTTTTCATCAGCAAAGCAAGTGCGATTCAAGCACGACTCAAGCACAAGAGTGAGCGTATAAGAGGAAAATTTTGATCCTTGTGCTTTAGTGTAGACTGTTATTTAGGGGCCATAAAGAACCCTTGTACTTGCACTTGTATTTGTATCGCCCGATAAGTGAAAGCCAGGCTCCTTGGATGCTTAAGTTGCGTCTCTAATAAACAACAGGGGCCGGTTCCTCGAAAGATGGTTAAGTTTAACCCAGGATTAAGCCAAATTTTAAGCGAGGTTATCTTGCCTAAGAACATGTAACTCAAGGTTAAAAAAATACTGTTGAACTTTTACTCCGAGATACGGTAATGATAAAACAAAATGTTACTCTTAGCAATACAAAGAAAGGTAAAATACAAGAAAGGAACAAAATTTTAATACTGGATTAGCGCTAATCGGCCTTTCAGAAACCCGGCCCAGTCATGTAAGTCCTTCTTACCTTGGGTCTGTATAGGATTAAAGTAGGGAAACTTGTCCTTGTATAAATTCTCAAATGCAGGGTTTCTGAGAGCAGAAACTGGCAAAGGTTGAAGATCAAGCAGTTCAGTTGGTGGAGGATTCTTTTCTGGCAGAATCAAATGACGAAATGATACTGGTAGCTGCGTTTCAGACCCTAAATACAAACATATAAAAAGTAATCAAACTTCTACAATCACGACATTGTAAATAGGTGAAATGTTCACACCAGACGCAACTATCAGCGCACTGCTTATCATGTCATGTCACCATTTCATCTGAGACAAGAGTTCTTACTAGCTATTTGCACTAATGAGCTGTGCCTCCACATCAACTAAATTTCAAAAATAATGGTCCAGTTTCGTTTTTTAAGACTAAATTGAGGCTTTTTAAAACTGTTTTCTGTCGTCTGCTGCTTTGGATGGCAAGAATAAACATGGATTGAACCTTGAAAGGCAATATCAGTGAACACGTTCGCACAAAACTACCGAAATATCCTTTCAAGTTGCAAACGCACCTCAGGAAGAACATACATGTAATAGTTTTAAAAAGTCACTGGTTGCATTATTGATACCTCAAAAAATAGGACTTAAAGGGTTCAGATTTTTGAAGCATATTAAAAAAACCACGTTTAAACCCTCACCAAGCCATTTGTCAGACACAATCCTGATGAAATACTGCGGTGGAAGAGGCTCGAACACAGGAACAAAAAACTTCAGCGTGTGTTCATCCGAGGCAAATTTGCTCTTTAGCAGAAAGTACTCATGATGTAAGATGATCTCACTATCAACATCTTCCACAAATATCCACATTGCCTCTGAGTTTCCATGAACTTTTTCGTCCCACTGAAAATCTGGGGTGATCACAAGTTCCACACTTAGAGTCGATCTGACAAGGAAAACATGTTGGAGTGGTTGTATTAGAATATAGCAACACAAAGTGAAGCAAAAAGAAAGAAAAGGGAAGGGAAGAAATAATGTGTCCCACATCAAGTTACCAGTTAGGAGTTCCAAACTTTGTGGGCGACAGCATTATGGTATGAAGAGAGACGATGATGAAATTCTCTTGGTAAGTTGCATGTTTTAAAATGTTATGACAAGACTCAGATGAAATTTTAGTTGCCAATCTCAAAGCCTTCTACGAAAGCCTTATCATACACATAAGATGTAGCAAAAAAACTTCTAACCATTCTGAAAATGAAAGGACAGAAAACAAAAGAAAGAAAGCAACTTGAAAAAACACCAAGGCTATGTTCACACTATACTTGATAGCTTTGGTGCCGGTATAGTATGAACAGTAACAGTGAACAACGTGCCGGCGCGGTTGACCGAGAGGGTTTGGTGTACTCAATTCCAGTCCTCCCTCCTCAATATTTACTTCCGTCATGGTGGGTTCCAGTTCTCACTCCTACTTATTTACTTCCGTGACAGGCCGAAAAGGTGTTCACAACACACCAAAGTACGGCAGAAAATCTATCCAATATGAGTTTCAGTTACTCCACTTTCGAGATCAACGAGGCACAGCTTTGCTCAGTCACAGAAATTGTGCCACCACAACCATTCCTGTGTGTGAACAGAAGCCCTATCCAGTCTGCTTTTCATGGCAACGCAAAAACTATTCAGTAGAGTATGAACATAGCCTTACGCATTCAATGTTTTTCATCTGACCTAGAAAAACATACCTTGTTATGGGTTGGATATGGGTGGCTAACTCCATTTTGGGCAGCTGATGGACAAACTTGTACAGTGTTTTGCCCATTTTGGGCATATGCACCAGCTCACCGATCTCGGTGGCTCCCAAGTCATAGTAACGCTCCCATGGGAATTCCTTCTTCTCAATTCTCTTGATTACCTCCATGGGGATTTTCTTGAATTGGCGAAGTGGACTCATGGACAGCCACCTAGGGTTTGATCAGAATCAAAAGACAAATCGGAATTGTTTCTTTTATGTTTATCCTATTGATCAATTGTGGGGTCAAGGTAGCTGGATATTGGTCAAAAAATGAATGAGGCTGTTATCCAGCCATGTTGATAAAACAAGCTTGGTCAAAAAAGGATAAAATATAATTATATCACATGATAATATGAAGAAATATTTTTTTTCCTCTCAGGAACAGAACAGGGTGAGTAATCCCGAGAAGGCAAGATCAGACCATCTTGTTTGCGCAGGTGGCCAATCAGAACACACGATTGACCCCACCTTGCCGCCATATAATCCTTGTCTAACATACCTCCACCTTAACCCTGGATGATCACTATAATGTTTTGTATTACTGCATATAAATAGATGGAACAGAGGAGTCATTTAAAGAAAGTTGGATAACATTCCTCAGATGAGTGCAGTGCAGTACAGTTAGCCTGTTCCAGGTGTTCAGATAGTAGAGTGCGGGAGAAAAATTCATGAAGAAAAAAAAAATGAGGGGAGACTAGAGGAACAGGCTACAGTACAGTCAATTTTGGAAATGTATGCAGAAGAGTCTAGAAAACATGTTGGTCAGTGGAATTATCGAGATAACAAGGTGAGATTGCAAATATTACTGCAACGAAAGGTTCAAGGCTAAGCTCCATACAAGAGCCACCAGAGAATTCTAACTTTTTGTGAAATGACCCAACAAATCATAAAAGCCATTAGCGTGAATTGTACTCTGCATAATTTACACAGTTGACTTACATTCGCTTATCAATCATCTTGCACAAGTTCAAGCTCTTGTCTGCCAGTTGAGCCCATCCACGGTTCAACACAATCTCAAAGATTGCTCTCATAAGCCGGCCTGATGACTGCACACAAAAGCAAAAATTAAACAGTCATTTTTCTCCTTGCCTACAAGTTAAGTGAGAAATGTTCAACGACTTACAGAAATAGAGTACTGTTTAATTTGAACAATAATTACCTGAGTAACATAAACCATATCACACATCAAAGCAAATCCCTCTAGCTTCAAATGAGATATGTATGCCTGAAGAAGAACGTTGACCTTTGGAAAGAAAAAAGCATATATGCATGAAAGAACTTCCAACTTTTATTTTGCAGAACCACTGTCAACCAAGCCGCAATCCTGAATACACTTAAACTATGTTTATTTTCAAACAGCTTCAGTGCAGTCACAGTATCTCAACTGCCCAAAATTAGCCATCTGAAGTCACTGTTCCAAAGATTTGGGCCCTGAATGCTATTATGCTAACACATACAGGAATTTGACACTTTGGGTTTCACTGCTTTTACAAAGGCAAAATGAAGAAGATATTGATACTGCAGATGCAAAACTGTGCTGCTTGATTGTCTTATTAGAAAGTCTACCTTTGCACTGGGCTCTTCAATGCTCTCTTTCACAGGAATCGGAACCCGCTCCAGCAATTTATTAAGCTCCAGTTTCTCTTCTTCTCTGACTGTGATGTACTTGAACTCAGAGGATAGTGAAAAAACTCTAAACAGTTCAATCTCACTGAGAGTTGGTTTGAGCAAACTGTTGTAAGTAGCGATGGTTTCTTGAGTACAGTAATAATGACTAGCAATGCGTCCCAACTCTGTCACCTTAAAAAAAGGATATCTTTGTACATTATTACTGGTATTAGCACTTAATTAAATTTTTCAACACTAAAAGTCGAAAAAGTCAAACAGGCAAATGCTTGTGCTAACCTGGAAGTTTCCTGACTTTTTGTCATACTTCACAAGGTTGTTTTTGTCAAGCTGAGTAGCAGCTGAGTGGATCAAATCTGCTCTCCGCTATAAAAGAATGACTCAACATTACACAACAATAACAAAATCTTTACTTTAAAATGTTAACACATAATTGTTGCAACAATCTAGTTATATATGCAATTTAGACACATAGCAACCCCTCATGCAGCTGAATTTTGATTTGTTTCCAGTCTAACAAGTTAAATCACTTTGTTAAGTCTGGTACAACATATTTCTAAAAAAATCATTACATATGAATAGTGTCGATGAAAATTAATGCACTCTGGAGGTTGGGGACAAACATGCCACTTTTCACATGTGAATTTTTAAGCATATATTTTTTTGCTATGAAAGAAGTGAAAAAAGACTTGTTTACCTGTTCAAGTAGGGGATCCTTTTCAATCTCATCATGAGATATACCATACAGGGATGGATTTCTCAACATTCTAATATAAAGGTATGTGTAACCTAAGAACAAAATCAAAATAATGCACAAAGACTGTCAGCAAGAGACCACTATACTACGTCCAATAGACTAAAGACGCTTCAAAGAGGAATAAGAAAGAGTCAGTAGAAACAATACCTAGCCAATGCACAGCTTCCTTGGCATTCTGCACTGTTCCAAGCACAATTTCAGCATTGAGGTTGTCAGCAAGCTTGCTAATAAACTGACTTTCAATGGGTAACTAAAGGAATCAAAAACAAACACCACAAGGTTACTAAGCCTTCAAACTTGTCTGTACATTTTTAGGCCATTATAAATTGAGACGCAAACTTGTTCTAAATGATTTGAATTTATTCTCAATCAATTAAGTTTCCATTAATCAAGCAAGTGTTTCACTTAGTTTCTATTTTGTTGTAACTACACAACTTTACCATTGTTGCAGTCCTCTGGCAGAACACCAATCACATCACGTGCTAACCACTTTTTATAATGCACTAAATGCTTTGTATCTCAGGCTATATGATTCCTGCATTCTCAAAGTGCAAAAACTAATACACAATAACAACATTATCATGATTACCACTAGAAGTGCTGTTCTCACCATTGCCCCTACTGGCCTCCATATCACTACTGTTACCTCTACCACTGCCACTACAGCTACAGTATAATATACGTGCTACAGCTGTACTGTTACTGCTCTTACTAAGGTTTACTACTACCACTACTACTACTACTACTACTACTACAATTTCTTCTATGGTTGGAAGTTCCCCTATGACGTTACCTGTTGATTCATGAGCGAAAGATAGTATTGCAGTTCACTGTGACTTGTAATCAAGATGCCTTCTCCCTTTGTGTCATACTGAGGTCGACCAGCACGCCCGAGCATCTGCATCACATCCAGTGCACCCAGCTCTACCCAGCGACCCTTCTCAGGATTGTAAATCTGCAAAGGGAATAATTTATAATTTTTATTGATGATAGCAATGATACTTAAAAAAAAATAAGATGCAAGTCATATAATGTATTTTTTCTTATCCTGACCAGTAAGAGTGTTGTAATATTAAAAATATCATGGTACTTCAAATGTTGGAAGTTTAAGACTATGTACAAACAAAAAAAGGTTAAATGAATAACAAACTGTTCATAGTGCACGTGTAAGTGTCCTTGGGTTTGTGCTACAATGCACACGTAGTTCTTGGTCATAAAATTCATGAGTATATTAAGGCATATTCAAGCACTAACATTTTATTTTTCAAACAGTGTTCATCTCAGCTGTGCTTATATTCACTTTTTCTTAACAATATGATCTATCCCCAATTTTAAAAGTTGCCCTCAACCTTTGAATGACTTTATATAATACTATAATAATTATTATTTCCCAACTGTTTCAAAAATTCTTCTCTTTAAGGGTGTTTCAAGTACTCTTGAAATCTACCATTACATTCCAGCATTTTACAACGAATTCAATGACAAGCACAGCATCCCGTTTTCTAAGAGTTCAAATGTGCCTTTTGACAGATGCTTTGTGGAAAAATACCACATAACATCTCCCCCCAGAGCAACAACAACTCAATGAATGTGATAATAACCTACACATATTTAAAGTATAATTTGTCTCCATCTACACAAGTTAAATGGACATACTATACACACTACATCTGATCTATGATGTGGATAACTGTACCTGTGTTCCCTTGATAATCACAGTGTGTGCTGGCAAGTTGACTCCCCAAGCCAATGTTGCTGTGGAAACTAAAACCTGGATGTGCCTGTCAGCAAAGAGATCCTCTACTAGTGTTCTGTCCACTCTGGTCATGCCAGCATGATGGATGGCAAATCCATAAGGAAGCAAGTCTTTCAGCTCCAGGTTAACAGCTTGTTCAGCTTCAGTTCTAAGTAATGGTGATTGCAATAAAATTAATTATTATTATGAGAAAGACAATCATGCACATTTCAGTAGGTGAGAAGAAACAGTAACAACAGGGAAGGGGAATACAAATTGAAGAAAAAAATTGTAAGGTTGACAAAAATCAACAATAGCAAAAGTACAAAATTACTGGCACTTGAAAGTGGAGACAAGTCGTGATCACTGCCTGCTTAGCAGCTGAAAGGTGGCAGTGATTGTGGCACCTACTAGAACATTTCAAAACAAAGGTTATATCTTAGGTATAGTCTATAAATTTGTTTCTCACCAAGGTATACACATTAAAAACATAGCAAAATAAAGCTCACTTTCTGCATGTCCAAAACCATCCCTTGCAAATAAAGGTCACAATGAATTTTTGTACGGTTGACAAAAAATCAACAACAAGAGTAAAGAGTTATAAATGGCACTTGAAAGTGGAGACAAGTTGCAATCACCTGCTTAGCAGCCAAAAGAGTAGTCTACTAGAACACTTTAAAACAAAGCTGTCATCTTAGGTATAGTCTTAGTCACACAGCATGAAATATCTTGGTTTTTTTTCTTTTTTTTTAAGCAACCTCTATCAATAATTCAGGCTAAGAAATCTTGTGAAGTTCATACCTAAGGACTTCAGTGCTAGCTGAGTCTTCCCTTAAGAAATGTCCTAATGTGTCTCTTTCAAGGCACAGATCTCTGATGGCCCGAGCTGTCTTGCTAGTCTCTTTCCTTGAGTGTACAAATATCAGCACTTGGTTCTTTCCAGCATGTTCAATGACTTTTTCATACACAATGTCATTCATTACCTTAAAGAAAAATTACAATGACATCATTATTACAAAACCTCTCTTCTTCTGTAAAAAAAGGAAGGTTCATGAATTTTTAAATGACTTTTGAGCAAGATGAGTTGTGTTCAAACAGCCACGGACAGCCATGTGGGAATCTTAAGCTGCCAACAGTGAGCCATCTGAACGTTCTTTGTTCCAAAGACTCGTCCCTGAATACCACTATTAAGCAACCAGGGATTTGAAACTTTGGGTATAACAAACTCATGTGATCAACATTTCATTTTTTACATACAGTTAACTCCCAATAACTCAAACCTTCTGGGAAAATCAAAAAAATATATAGTTATAAGGAGGTTGAGTTATTGGGAGTTCGAAGCAAATAACCAAAAATAAGGAAATGGATGGGGAAGTAACAAGTAACAAGTAACAAGCACAGTCTACTTCAAGGGCAGCAAGAGATATATTGATATCAAGTAAAAAACATTAGGCAACAAAGCTCGATCAATATACAGGGCTGAATAAAAAACAAAAAAGACTGACACTGAATGTTTCAGACTGCAATGCACTGGTTTTTTTCATGCACTTACAGTATAACATGGTTCAAGTTATCCAGTGCAAAATAATATTATATAGAAAAGATCTGAAGGGAAAGCAATATTACTTTAAGTTAGTGGAAGGTTCGAGTTATGGAGGGTTCAAGTTACCAAGGGTAAAATTACAGTAAATGTACTAAGGAAATCCAGCTGAAATCAATTTTGGTTCAAGTTAACACCAGGTTTGAGTTAGCGAGGGATTGAGTTATCGGGAGTCAACTGTACAATTTAAAGACATCCTAAAAGGGGTCAACTGAAGGTTAGAGTAACATAAACAACCTGAAAACCTACAATGTACATGTTATAGGCCATTTCTGTATTAACTTTGGCCTCACTTTCAAAGTGAGTGCAGGTGCTCATCCTTTCATATGAAAAAAGCTTTTCATTCTCACCAAAAATTGTGCCCCAGTATAAAAAAGACAGTAAGGGCAACTCAGAAATGGGTTACTTCTAACCATTGATTGAACAGAAAAGAAATTATCAACACTGTCCTTTCAACTGTTACAGTTAGCCATAAGGACAAAGAAATTAATAAATTAATAAAAATGTTTATTTGTTGTCTTTGGTTATAATTATTGCTTCTCCCACATCCCACATAAAACATCCAGTATTAATGGATTATGTATTTTCTTACTAGTGAGAATAATGAATGTCTATTAACTTAAAACAAACCTGTAGTCTCTTGATTGGTTTCTTCTCTGTGACCCCAATATACTGCTGCTCCAGCGGAACCGGTCTGAAGCTGTTATCAAAGAAAAACAAACCCTTGGCAGGATTCACACGCATGAAGGTAGCTACATCCTCATAATTTGGTAGAGTGGCACTCAACCCAACAAGTCTGACCAATTCTTGAGTTGTTTCTATCTGTCTAATGGTACGTGCAACTAATGATTCCAACACTGGTCCTCTGTCATCGTGTAGAAGATGTATTTCATCTATGATGATCAGTCTGACAAGCTGTGTGAAAGTTCTCTCCCCTCCCTTGCGAGTGATGATATCCCATTTTTCTGGTGTACAGACGATAACCTGTGTGCTGTTGATCTGTTCTTTATTTAAGTTGTGGTCTCCAGTCAGCTCTGATACTGTCAAGCCATAAGTACTGAGCCTCTACAACAAGGAGATTTTGTGAAGTTAACATCACTTTTCTAAGAAGTCATTATGACGTACATTAACGTTACATTGCACCCAAACTGGTACAGAACATTAAAATGACATCTTGTCATGAATGTGTGTGCATGCAGGAGACTTTGTGATTGAGTGTATTTTCAATTCTGTCATCTTGAATTTGAGCTTTCGGGGTTAGCAATTACTTCCAATCCCACAAGCTTCAAAAAAGGCGTTGTCAGTCTTAAGATCATGTATTGCAGTGAACGGACAATAACAAATGGATATTTCATGGACAATAGATGTTAAGGCCTTGGCTTTTACAACCCACATTTTGCTGGTTTTCTTCTGCAAATCAACACAAACACATGCCCGATCGATCTATGCTTGTCTTGTTTAGTTTTTTTCCCTCTGTAACCAGTTGTACTGAACGGAAGTACAGTCATTTGAAATAATTTGGCATAAAATAAGCCAAGTTGGGCATATTTGCCAAACAGTTTGACAAAAAAAAGTGGAAAATCCAAAAGCGGATGGGGGTTAATGATTTTGCAATTCTGGGGTATAGGGGATAACACATTTTGGAAATTCCAAAGGCAAGACGGGTTTAAATATGGAAGCTGTCCCTGGTACATGTACGGTACGGATATTTTCTGGAATAACAAACCCTACCCCTGATCCTAAACCACTTCTTTCACAAAAGTTTAACTTACCTTAGTGAAATTAGCAACCATTTCCTGCACAAGAGACTTCATAGGTGCCACATAGATAGCTTTGAATTCTTCCAGGTTGATTGTACCATCAAGGTTAATATGTTTGCCAATTTCTCTCAAGATTGTTAACAAAGCGACATTTGTTTTGCCAGCTCCAGTTGGTGCACAAAGTAACAGATTCTCATCAGTGTTAAGAGCAGTGTTACTCAGACGGCTCTGGATCCTGTTTAAGGTGTCATAACCTTCAAAGGCTGGCTGAGCATATTTGGGTAAACTTGTAATTGGAACTCGTTCCTACAAATAAAACAAACAATATAAGAGCAAGTTAACTACTGTTTCCTTTCTCTCTTCACAGGGCTCAACAAAAATCCTGTCCAGTAGTCCAGACCAAATAGATTTTCTTGCTGGCAAGAAATCTTTCAAGCTTAACTTGCCCCTGGCAAGTCATCCTCCAACAAAATCATTGACTAAGACAAGCAAGAAGTGGCCCCAGGCAAGAAAATCTGAGAGATGCTTGTCCAAAGGAAACAACACTTGAATTCAAGATTTTTTTTGAGCCCTTTTCTACACTTTCAAAATAGCTTTACTGAAAATCAAATATGGCCTTTCTAAGTTTCTTATGGACAAAATCACAAAATGCACCTTTAATTCAAACTGAGTTTAAGATTAAAAAGGAAAGAAAAAACATGGAGTAATATTTCTCTGGGGGTACTAAAGCAATAATTAGAATGCAATCCATGCACCAACTTTATTTTTGTAGTTCTCAATACAAAGATACTACAAAAAGAATTTAATTTTCATTAATTTTAATGAAGCAGACTGCCTCACCTCTCCAGCTTCATAAGGTTTAGGTTTCAGAGCAGGGACATGAACTTCTTCATAACCTTTCCTTTGTTTCCTGAATGAACCATCCGGAAGTTGGCACCTCTTGTTGGCCATAAGATGGCTGCCGTCTTTAAAGGTCAAATCTTCAAGATCCAGTATTTTTCGACTGCCTCGAGTCTACAAGGGAACAAAAGAAATAAACCATCTTTTAAAAAGAAATCATGACAAGGTGTATCGGACAAATCATAAGTACCTAAAGACAATCTTAAGTTGAGTAAACAAAGCATTTTAGATCTTTGCTTCACACATGTTATACCATTATGGGCTGTTTCTTCCCAAAGAAATGTAAGAGAGTGTGGAAAAGCCAATCGAGAGTTTTCAATAATGTGGCCAGCATCTACGCAAATTTATTGGAACAAAAGAAATCACCTACTTAAGAAAAGAGTTCAATACTTCCAAAGGATTGGTTTGGTACACTAATATGGCCGCCATTTCATTGTTTTGGAACAACAATATGGCTGCTGGGACGTCATGTGAAAACACTCTAATTGACTTGATAAACTTAGTTAAAATATCAAGTGATTTTGTTATAGAACCTGTACCTGATCAGATTCAACAGCATCCAGATCTGCAGCAATTCTAGCTTTTCTATTTGCTGCCTTCCTTGCTCGTTCCTCCTGTGAGATGTACATGAAAGAAGATTAGTCAAACCATTGTTCTTTTGACATGTACATGACCATTTTTCAATATATTTCTTCATGATCAAAGTAAGATGTTGAAAAATTCCCCATTGTAACCAATGTCTACTCGTTTATTGTACCAGATAGTAGCCAGGAAATAGGGAAGACATTTGCACTCCTACAGTATAGAAAAGTTGCCAACATACTTTAGATGTAACAAAATGCTATGTCCCTAGAGTTGATTTTTAAATAGAAAAATACCTGCAAAACTTTTGCCCCCAGAGTACTTTATACAACATAAAATAATCTACAAAAGTTAAATGCAATACTAAAATTTTAATTCTGGGGTTTAAACACCACTACAATATACATGTATATATATGACCATTCATTACAACAAAACCTCTTTGGCAATTCACCCATGTGGTAGTACTGTACCTGTAACTGCTTTTCAGTATCTTATGGAAATTTTTTTATTTAGTTATTTTTTTGGAATGTTGCATAGGGGGCACTCTTGCTTGTGATGGGACAAAACAATATCCACTGGTTTTATTCATTTAACCAACCTGAATCAAGTCTTCTTGCTCTGTCTCTGTCAGTGCATGAAGTATCGATGCTAAATCAGGATCAGAGCTCATCTTCTCCTCAATCTCCTTCTTATCCTTAGCACTCTGTGCTGTCGCAAGCAATGTACAGTACAGCACCATGTTCTTATTTTTGCGTAGCAGCCTGATAAATGAGAACTTGTCATGTCCTAGAAGCAACATCATTTTGTTCTCAAGTTCTCGCTCATCCTTTGCACTCTTAAGAATTTCCAAGACTTCTTCAGCTTTAGATCTTGAAGCCTCTGCATCTGCGTAATATTTGTTCAGCTCTCGTTGCAACCAAAAGGCATCAATGTCTCGAGGGTGAAGGTTGTCTCCTGACCTTTGAGATCTTTCTTCTTCCAGCTACAAGACAAATGTGACAAACATTTCTGAGAAATTCTAATTCTTAAAATATATCTAGATCTACTGCCATGCACAAATTCAAGTACATGTACTATGGCTAACAGACACATTTACCATTGTTATGCGAAAAGTCTCAGAAGGTTACGGTAGGTTTGACTTGATTTGATTTATTTGTTTTTGTCACTTTAAAGGTTGTAGAATTTAGACAAAATAACCAAAAAGATGGTGACAGGGAAGCCTGAACTGGAAGCCTGGGGCTTAAATTGGGTCCATAAACTAAACTAAGATACAGGAAAAAAGAAGAAGAAGCAACTTAAATTACTTAAAAGATTAACTTACAGAACAAGACAATAGGAGAATGAAAACAAAATTATGACATATGTTGATTCCAAGAAATTGAGCTATATAATTATTTAAAAAATATAAAGAGGGTTGGATTGTTAAATCAACAAAGATTATTTTATTTGTTTTCATTCTGTCTATCAGTCTTTGCTTACCCCTCCCTGAAGAGTCATTGTCGTATCAGCTTCCACACCCTCTGCCTCATCACCCGATTCTTCATCCATGACTTCATCAAAGTCTTTATCTTCCTGCAAGAACAAAGCGTAGAGGAATCCATTTTTAAATATCCTTGTCGAACATAGTAGTGACAATGTTGTATCAGCTATTCTAGCCTCAAGAGTTCACAAAACATGATCAGTCAAAAGAAAACTACTTAATAACACCCTCAGGAGAAACTGCATGCAGTACTACAGGGTGGTTCTAATGTAGGGGTCACGAATGGGTTTTGCGAGCATTCACAAGCATGCAAGCACTGTGATTTTTTTTGCGAGCACGAGCAGCGATAAAAAATTTGTTTTGCGAGCAGTGAGCAGTTTAGAGAGTACAACTCGCGAGTAGTGAGCACTTCTTATACTTTCCGCTTGCAGCAATCCATATATGGAAATCCTTTTCTTTAAAATGAAACAGAAAATATTTTAAAACTGGGTTTTAATTTAGAGCGCACCAAGTTCTTTGAAGCTACTTTGAGTGACACCTTATCGAGATCTAACCAATTACAGTCGCGTTTGATGCCAAATGACGTCACATTTTCGCTTCACAAGGTAACCTTCAATTTTACATGATTTTCCATGACTGACAATTAAATTCCAAGACTTTCCAGGTTTTCCATGACCCATAAAAACCCTGCAGTATTACTTTCACATAAGAAAGTTTTTCTTTGAAATTACCTCCTCTTCCTCTTCATCAAATTGTACAGCAACTCCATATGTCTCGTCAATTACTTCATCTAATGTATATAGTCAAGGGAACAACATTACTGAGAACTACAACTTTGAATCACAGGAAAAATCACAAACATTGTCAGAGTTTGCTGATCATAATCATAACCTAAATAATCCACATGACTTTCAGAATCAGGTAAAGCAAGGATTAGTTTTAATCATATGATCAGCAGGCTTTACTACATTTGTACACCTTACCAGCAATACGCTCATCTCTACAACACATGCTGTGCTTCAAGTAAGATGTTAAATTTTGATGCTGTTTTTCTTTCACTCAGACAGAACATTTTTTCCAGTTTATAGTAAAAAACAATTTCAGAAATACAACCATGGGGAAAAAACTGAAGACTTACTTTCACACATTTCATTTTAAATTGCAGTTAATAAAAGTGCAAGGGGATAAGACAGGAAAAAGAGCTGACAACCAGCAATTTTGTCATTTCTAAACACACAACTTTGCCTTTCCTACCTGCTACTCTGATTATTCTGCACTGTAAAAGATTTTGACTGGGACGTGTTGGTTAATATGATGATCAAAGTTACACAAATTAGTGGTCATCAAGTTGACTAGATTTCAATAATCAAATCTGTAATATGAATGCCAGTTAGGGGTAAAAAGCGAATTTATCAAAACTGACCATCATTAAGTAAGCTTCTGTCAACAGAGTAGTCTGTGATCTTCTTTCCCAAATTCACCAGCAGAGCATATCTTTCATCTGGCATCCCACCAAGCAAAGACACTATCTCCTTTTGACGTTCTTTGTCCTAGGAGCATTGGTTAACCCAGTTTAAGTCGCAAACACTTACATATCCAAATCATGACAAAAAATCAAAGTGTCCAAGCATACAATATAGTAACAGTAATAACAATATTGAACGGAAATATATGGAATGACTCATATTTTGAACTGCTGATAAAGATATGAAAGTGGAAATGATCCTCACAGTTGGATAAACAACCTAAGCAGTTGAAAAACTCATAATGGCCTCCTTTCCAGTTGGCTTGATTAGCTTAATGGATAGAGCATTGCATCCGGTCATCATAAAGGCCAGGGTTTAATTCCCAGTCAAGCCTGAATTTGTTTGGGTTCTTTTTCAGCCACTTTTTTTTTCAATTATTTATTCAACTGCGAGGATCATTTCCACTTTGATAATAATAACATTATAATAATAATAATAGTCAAACTCATAAATGTTGGTTTCAAAATGAATAAAACACAACAGTTAAAACAGAGTTTGTTCAATCTTATTATGACCAACTGAATTCCCTGCAAGGTTGGTGTCTGAAAACCTTAATAAAAGATAATGGATTAGTACACTTTTTAAGCCAAAAAAATTGTTGCTCAAGATTTCTGAGCTTAGTCGTTATTGAGAGTAAAGAGAACACCAAACACATGGCCCCTTTCACAAATAATTTGCAAACATTGCATTTACAGCAGCAAAGTAAAGGCATATAAGTGACTTTAAAAAGGAATAACAAAACTAAAAACACACAATCGGGTAAAAAAATATTCAGTCATTTTCTTCAAAAGACTTGTGCCTACACATTACCTTCATCTTGTCATCTTTCAAAGCTGCTAGAACTTCATCAGCGGCCCCACATAAAATATCACGTGGCTGGGCAAAACAAAAAATCAAAAACATAGTTTATCCATATATATGTGTATCTGTTTAGTTTGTTTACACTGGAATTCAAGGAAATGAGGCAAAATTGGGCACCAAGTTAAAGTCATTGGTTGAAACACTCTAAAGGATTTCATATACAGTGTGACAAGACTTTGAAAACATGAATGCAATATGCCAACAACACAAAGTGAAGATACCTGATCTCCAATGGCAGCCTGGATAAAACTAAGTAGAACTTCATAAGTGGACTTTGTTTCTCTGGTTTTTGGTCGGTATCGCACTCCTGCTAAATCTGATGCATCTTCTGACAAGAGGCTGCCACTTGTTTTACCCTTGGTAAACTCTTCTCGCTCAGCCAACTTTTGTCGTCTAAAAAAAACAAATAACAAATAACTTCACAGCAAAACTGATATTAGGAAGAGAATTATTGTGAAGAAACCGCTGGAACATTATGAATGTTCTTGTCTAATTTATTCTTGTGTTGTCAACAACTCCTGTTTTTACCAAAGTTGCTGAGCCAATGATTCGTAACAGCCAAGCAAAATTTATCTCCAGCCCCCAACCCAAACAACTATTAAAATAACAACACCTATTCGTATCCTACATGTAGTAAGGACGAAGTTCAAACATATGGGCCAGTTTTACTGCTGTAGCAGAGGTGGGGGTGGTGGCAAGGAGCTGTATTCAGGGTTCATACAGATTTTTGGATCCAAAAGTCAAGACTTTTTCCAGACTTTTACCAAAAACAATACTTTATTTTTCCAGACTCAAGGTTAACAAATAGGTAAGCAATAGAGATCTTGAAAAACACAGGAACCAAGCTTTTTTCATGCTGCACTTCAAACATACGGTAACCACAGTGCAATGAATACATAAGAGAATTAAGAGACTTCTCATTCTGTGATTAAATGTCTTCTATATGGCAAGATTGAATGGGATTTGACCATGGGGAAAAAAACTCACTTATTAAGCACTTGTTGTAGCATTGAAAAAGAAAAACTCCAGACTTTTACTATTTTTCCAGACTTTATGTATGTCTATTTTCAAGACCCTGAGTATCGGTATAACAAACTTATAATCATGTTGTAGTTACCAAACAGTAAAACCAGTAATGTTGAATTCAACATTGCTGACTACAGTGTACAACATAGCAACTACTAACTTGGCTTTATTCTCTTCTGAAACAGGAGGCTTAGTTCTCTGATACTTGTCACCCATTTTGATTCCTCCAATGTGTCCCACCAGTGACATAACCTCTCCTGTTGCTTCATCACGACCACGGCGCTCAATAAGTGAGCGATCAGCTTGCAACACAAGATTGGAGTTCTAAATAACAATAGCATTAATACAAGAGTATTGATTACGCTTTACAGTGCAATGACTGTACAATTATATTAACTTGCAGCTCTACCTACAGAATACCTGGTCATTTCAAAGGGGCCGTATCACGGCTGTCTAGTTCAAATTTTCAAAATTGCCGACAACACGTCCTTATTCGCTATGTCAAACTTGACGTTAGTAAAGAAACCACTTGTAAATAACAGAATTGCAGTTCGGTGTCAAACAAAAGTGTCTTCCAAGCATTTTATCAAATGTTACAAATTAACCATTTCACATAGACCATAATACACCCTCAAACATTTTGCCTGACCATTGTATTGGATTTCTCTTGGGGTGACTGTTATAACCCGGAGAAATTGGAAATAATGGTTATGCAAAGTCTGGAGCGGGGTTGGTGGGGGGGAACAAGGTGCATTATGGTTTATGTAAAAGAAGTGAATAACAAAAATAAACTGTGAAAAATTGTTAGGCTAACAAGTTTTCAAAAGCCACAATTCCAATCCATTTTAAACTTATAACCATAATTTGTCTATCTGTGCCATGCCAACCTGGCTTGAAAGGATCTGATCAGGGAACAAAGTGATCAGATACCCTGGTGATGACCAGGCTCAAGTGGTTACCAGGAGAAACAGTTATTTTGATAGGCCTATGATTCAAGTAAACCGCAAGACTTCAGATGAGTCCCAAGTAAAAATAACTCCTTGGAGTTACGGTCATTTTAATAATAATATTACTATTTGCGGAAAAAACTAATTCGAACCTGGTACCACAAGCTCGAAGCTAAGTTTTTTACCGTAAATTATACATGAAATTATAAATGTAAAACAGTGCTCAAAAGTGCGCATTTGCCTGAGGTCACGGTAAACAAGTAGGAACGACCTATAAGTACATCAACTAAAAAGATGCTTAACTATGTAAAATTCGATCAAAAACTACAGCAACGTTAGCTTATATAATCAGGAAGGGTTAATTAAGCTAACACGTGCTAGCTGAAAAAAGATCGAGAGCTAGAAAAGTGCTAAACTTACCGCTTTATATTCATACTGTAAGGATCTGGCCGTGGCATCCGCCATGGCAGTATTACAGGTCTATATCTCAGTGTAAAAGCTTGTCTTGAATAGCAACTTTACAGCAAGTTGCTTCAAAGAACGCGGACATAGACTGCTAACTTTCTCCGCTGCAAAGACAAAATGGCCGCCAAACGTTGCCAGTGCGTATACAAATGGTGTTGTCCGCTGGGCAGTTAAAAATAAGCGAATCGAAGCGGCGGACCCCAAGCGGCCAGTAAGACCAGTGGCTGTGTGTCATCGCAAGGGTTGTGGACAAAACAGTAACTGAGACGGAATAAAGATTGAAGAAGCGCGACTTTACTTTTTAAGAGACCTTTTCATTGCCGTCACCGTCGTTGTTGCTTGAGCTCCCTAATGACCCTAGATGCAACCTAATTCAGTCAGTTCCCTAACCCTAATAATCACATCACAAAACTTCAGCATCGCGGTCCACGGTGTTTACGCGGAAGGTACCGGGTTCGAGACTTGCTATGGCCCTTCTTTACGAGAATTTTATAGATTCTTTTTTCTTCTTCCTTTTTTAAAGATCTTTAGCCTCAAGATTTGTCACAAATGAAGTACAATATGAAGCACGAAAAATAAAACTTATATTTCACTATGCATATTCTGAATTTTTTGAGTGTGTGGTACATATTCTTTGCTTTGAACGTTCTGTTGTAACTGTTTTCAGTCGCTTTCAACAGGCAGGGGCACCTAATGGATCTGTTCCTCAAAATATCTGTTCTTCAGAAAAAAAAATTACTGGCTGGGTGATGTGGAAGAAATAATATGTCCTTGCAAGGAAAGTGTCGCTGGGAAAAAAATAATTTAGGGTGTCTGAGGGGATTTTATGTGTAGAATAGCTGCTATGGGTTATTTGTCATAAACCTTCCCCCCCCCCCCTTCCCCACCACTGAAAGGGTGAATTTCGCCGATAGGTCACCCCTATTTTCCTACCAAACACCCCCCTCCCCACCACTGAAGGTCTGAACTTTGCCCCTATGACCACACCCAAACTGGCCAGCAATGTCTGGACATACGTCTGCTGGGAAACTTCCAAGTAAGTCAGGTTGTAGGTGCACCTTGCTGGCTGGGAACTCTTCCAACAGTCTTGCTAGGAGCAAGGAACAGATAAACTTTTCCTAGCAATCTCCCAAAATGTTTAAAATGGCTTCAGAAAGCTTTATTCATGCTTTGTTATTGTTTTTAGGTCTTTTTCTCCACATTTCTCTTTGGGTGCCCCTGAACAGGTATTGGTATCTGTACCAAGCCATTGAAAAGTGATTTTATTGCCTCGCCCGGAGGTGATTATCCTGTACTATTCACATTATCAGAGGGCAGAGAGGAGCCGCATCCATAACATTCCATAGTGTGATGTCTTCAAATGGGTCACTTTCCAGCGATTATACATGTTATCCTAAACATCCTTATAGGGAATTAACACTTCACGAAATTAAAGTCGCAAACATTTCAGCGATACCTTATTTCATAAAAGGTAATTATAGCGGAGCTCTCTCGCACCCAAAATGCACGCAGCGGAGCCTCCATTACTATAGAAAATGGAAACCTATCAGATGCAAGAAAATTGGTACTCACGTGACCGTGCGTCCGTACGTACGTCCACCCTTACCTGCAAGTCGGGTTGAAATTTCGCATTTAAGCTCCCGCGCGTATTGGCGGTAAATCGCATGGCCACCAGGACTTTAGTTTAAACAATAAAAAACAACAACAAAGCCTAGCCTTTTTTTCGACTAAATTTTAATGTCTACACTGACGTGGATAACAGAGAAAGAGCTACAGAGAGAGCGAGAGATGAAAAACAAAGGCTCGGAAGTTCGTTGGAAAAACAGCAAGAAAAGTTTCTAGCCGCGGTGAGAAAATGAGAAATGCTAGCGGCCAGCAAGGTGAAAATGAGCAGCAGTGAACAAGAACGCAAGCAACAAAATTTTTCGTGAGCACATACGACATTTCCTCCATGATAAAACGTGAAACTATTAAGAGTGGCTGTCTGTAAGGATCGAGAATCGGCGGTCAGCGACCCATTTGGCGAATCCCTGATATTTTGCCCAAAGTTAGCCTTGGGTAGACTTTTTTCAAAAATCATATTCAAAAGTTCCAACGATTTTGTTTATTTGTGAAAATTGAGAAAAATTAAAAGTGCAGTCAAAATGCGGTCAGAGTGCGGTTTTTTGGTTGATCAAAAGGTGCGATGATGAACCTCCGCCGAAGTCTTAAAATGAACTCAGTTGACCTCAAAATAACAAGAATTTCAAAGCAATCAATCTTCTACACTACCAATGTTTTAATCTTTTCAAATATGATAGTACAATGGTTTTTCAGGCCATTTAGAAAATACCTTCGGAGACCGCTTCCGATAGCGGCAAAATGTAGCTAATATTCATCAGGATAAAAATGTTCCTGGTATGTCAGTTTTTAACAATTAAGCATTGCAGAGCTAAAATATAGGTCTTAAAGATTTACCAAGTAAAGTTTCAAGGTCGAACTCGAAACGCTTCCCTTCGAAGGAATCGGAAGTCTGAGCAATATCAACGTGCAAAATGGCGCCGGATTTATAACAAACATCTAACATTATAGTTACAATCACTTGCGTTAAAATATATCAAACTAAATTCACCTTTGACAATTTTAAGTTTAAGCATTGCAGAGCTAAAATATAGGTCTTAAAGATTTACCAAGTAAAGTTTCAAGGTCTATCTCAGTACGCTTTCTAAGAGACAAGTCAGTTAACTTTGTAATATTATCAGCGCTTGTCAACAAACATTAAAAAACATTTTTCTCGTCCCGTCACTCGATCAGAAGGGCACTTTCCATATCTTCTTTCGTTTGAAATTCACAAGTCGTTTTAGATTAGGTTAAACGCAATAAACACATTTGGCCTCTCAGACCTAAACAGTTTCAAAATAAAGATCGGTTGAAAAGAATTACTAACCCCACATATCTCAAGACTGCCTGGAATTTTTACTTCAGTCACTTGATCTTCCTAAAGCGCCGTATCCTGTAAATGCAACCTTGTTTCGATGTCTCAAGCGCTCAGGATGCGAGCAATACAGTACTCCAAATATTTTTAATACTATCAACTCACGACTTTTCGTTGAATTGCACAGAAGTGAAAAGGAGTTAAACAAAGTAATCCGAACCCAAACAAACAAACAAAGACTGCACTAATTCGGCGCTATTGTAAAATTGGTACTGACACCATGAAACGACTGAAACCGAAAACGAAATTTACATTTACCTTATCCTTTTCTCCATTTTGTGTCCACCATTGCAAACTTTCTGTAAAAACACATCAGAGGCTTTAAAGTTCATATTCAGATCCATTTGTGGCGCTTCGAAATGCGTGCATGCTTGGCGCACAGGAAATTTACCAGAGAGTCACGCAACCGTGCGCACGAGCACACCCGTCACTATTGTGCAACAACATTTCGCAACAGGTTGAAAATACAGCGTTGGTCATATATCCTTGTTTAAATCGGTCTCATCTTTTCTTGAATGGCTCACTGTAGCTACAAAGCGCTTCTAGGTAAGGTCACCCCTTCCCAGGGCACACCTTGCGGTCAGTCCACAGATTATCCTGGTCAGCTGGAATGTATTGCGCTCAAAGACTGTACAAAAGATGTAACTGGCCATTTAAAGACCTTAAACCTCAGCGCAGATGAGGGTTTAAGATCTGAAATAAAGTTGCTGTTAGCCAGAGCAGGTAAATACCACCCTAAAATATAATAGTTTGGTCTTTTTATCAGCTATATTATTATTATACGTTTTACTTTTTATCATCATGCACTTGAGGGTGGTTATTCTCAACAAATTCTCCTTCTAGGGGTTTTCTCTGTGGAAGAACATCACTATGCCTCGAGCATTTGTCCAAGGCACAGGGCTGATTTCGGCATCTGCTGGAGGACAGGGAAGACCATGTGTACAGTGCCCAAAGAATTAGCAGTACATAAAACGACAACTGCTAAAGGGAGCCACCGAGTGGATAGCTTGAAGTCGGCGTTTATTTTCAAAACCACGAACACATGTATTCCAGTTGGATCACGTAAGTTGCAAACTTTTCTGCGAAGATTGGTTAGATAATGGTAATTTTTCACGGTTAAGAATCACATATAAGGTGGCACACAAGGCGAGGAGTTTGCTAGCACTCTATTAAAGAAACAGTAAGAAATTTCCACGAGACAGTGACAAGAGAGGGGAGAGCGTGCAAGGAGAGGGAAACGCGCTTTTAAGATGTATTAATTATCACGTGTCGCTTGTTTGTGTTACGCAGGGGTCACTTTTGCCTTGGGGGTGCGGGTAATCCAAGCACACCTTGCAGTCCTCATTCAAAATTATTGGTCTTGCGGGCAGGAAGTTCTCTTCTTTCTATGTATGTTTTAAATGTATTGTTTATACAGTATATTGACATTAATTTCTGTTCGTCTGTTCATTTTGTGTTGCTTTTGTTTCTCCATTTAAAGCAATTTGTAAACAATGCAACGAGTATATCAGCAAACAGGCCATGCCCAACCAAACTCTAGTGTTTGCTTCAGGTGGGGTGGAGTCCGTCCCCGGGGTCTCGCACCTGCAAGAGTTACCCGAGCCCCATTTGTTGGTAAGTAGTAATAAGAAACACTAGTGTAAATGGTTCGCTTAAGTGGCTCCTTTAACGATGGTATGAAATGTTTTCCTTCCAAAAAGAAATTCATCATTCATTCTTTCATTTCCTTTTTAATCCTTTTTTACTTTAGGGGATTTCTTTTCATTTCTTTCTTTCTTTCTTAACGGGTTTGTGTGGGTGTTGGCTTATGAATAAAATAAAACAAAATAAACATTTTATCATGCTTTATAGTAATTACACAATATATTTGTTTGAACTGTTTCAGGTAGAGGGGGAAACAGGCCGCCGTTCAAGTACAGAAACAACTAGTAGTGAGTTATCGTCTGATGACCTTGCAACTGAACTGAAGAGGCTGGAGATATCGTCAAGAGGGCGGGATGATGAGACGTTCCTCAGTCCGGATACCGGAAGTCTTGTTTCTTCGACGAGTGACGAGGCCCCAACCACTATGCAAGAACCTCGTAAAAAGTTGAACGAATATCTGGTTTCGAAGAACATCCCGCCAATAACTCAGCCCTGGATGGAATGGGATAAAGCTGGAGAGAGCACTAAGAAGAGATACACCAAAAGGACAGTGGAGATCTTTTCTTCAGTCCTACAAGATCTTACACCTAATTATGCAGGTTCTCTTTGGCAAGCGGTCGTCTCGTCCCCTGCCATGAACAAAGCTCTTAAACTTGATGAATTATCACAAACGTCCAAGAATTATCTTTAGGCCTTAGCAGAGGCATACGGTAAAGCTCAAGGGTGGGAGACAAGAAGGCAGATCTTGTCTATCATGTCAGGCGTTGCCAGCTTCAATGATATTTCAAGATTTATACCAGGCTTAACTAGATATCGCTATAGCTTGGCCAACCTGCATCGCTTACAGTATGGTAGCGGGGCTCCCACAACGCACCACCCTTCGCCGAGGATAAAGGTTGATCTGAAGCAACTTGACCATTTTTTATCGTATATAACAAGTCCGCATTTGGTGCAGGATCTACCATTTGGGCAGAAAACGTTGAAACTCTCTTCTGGCCACCTGGTTGAGATACCAAACGTCATAAGGACGATGATACCCCAAAGAATAGCACGTCAGTACGCTCAGTACTGCCACGAAACTGGCTTTAAACCATTCAGTGAGCGTACTATGCTTCGTGTATTGGAGGAATGCAAGGCCTCGGTCCGAAAATCTCTCCAAGGACTTGACTACGTGGCCGCAGACGGTGCGCGTGCCTTTGAAGACTTAGAGAATTTAGTCCGCCGACTTGGAGAGCTCGGTCTCGGGAAAGAGTGGGAGTTGCAGTACGTGGAATTGCTCAAGGGTTCAAAATTATACCTTAAAAGTGATTTTAAGGTAAGGCTTAATTAAAAATAATAATACCGTATTTTTTCGAATAAGCGCCCAACCTCGAAAAAGCGCCCACCTCGATTAGGTGCCCAGCCTCGAAAAAGTGCCCACCCCCTTTTCCTCCCACGCAAACTAAAATAAGCGCCCACCACCACCCCACCACCTCCCTCCTCTAACCCCCCGAAAAATATTGAATAAGTACTCAAGAGACTTCCCCGAAGGCGGAGTTTTCTTCAGAGTATTTTACAGAAACCTTTTGTTACATCTTCGCGTTTGGTACTACCATTTATTGTTTTGTTACAAAATAAACATACTACTTTTGCTGAAAATGGTGAAAATTTAATAAGCGCCCAGCCTCGAATAAGCGCCCACTCTCAAGGTCCAAAAATTTAATAAGCGCCCAGGGCGGTTGATCGAATAAATACAGCAATTGGAAAGAATTTAATCATTCTTTACAAAGACTTTAAGTATAAAATTTAAAGAATGATTTTAATTGTCACTATTTGTTACAATAAATGCTGTGTGTTTTAAACATCTTACAGGTCCACGTGTGTTCTTCATCTGAGATTGCGAGTCATTGCAGTGTGTTTGCCTTAAGTGACTCCACCAGTCCTGATCTGCAGCAGCAGTGTAGCCACAAACACGAAGAATGCTGTGAGCAATGTGAGATCCTGCACTCAACTCTTCAGAACATTTCCTCTGCAGTAGAAAGAGCATCGTTTGCCACGCAAGATGACAAAGAAGAGGCCCTGTTCTTAGTCAACGCTTCTGTGCTTGCCATCCAGTCATGGAAATGTCATCTGCTGAGGTCGGCTCACCAGGACCAGGCTCGTTTGGACGCTATCGACGCTCTTGATCAGGAGACAGTTTTTATCGTCAACGACTGGGCGATGAAGTTTCTTCCTCATAGATACCGTGAGTCCCAAACGGACTGGTTTGGCAAGCGTGGGTTATCATGGCACATATCGGTGGTGTACAGACGGAAGGAGGAGGAACTACAGTGGCAAGCCTTTATCCACGCAGTTCAGTCCTGCAGCCAGGGGAGTTCAGCTGTGGCATCCATAATGCATCATGTCTTGGAAACACTCAAGCACGAGCACCCTGAGACAAACAAAGCCTACTTCAGACAAGACAACGCAGGCTGTTACCACTCCACTCGCACGATACTAGCTTGCAGAGAGATGGCAGCAAGCACTGGAGTAAAAGTAGTCCGCGTAGATTTTAGCGATCCCCAAGGCGGAAAAGGGGCAGCAGACCGGCTGGCTGCAAGCTGTAAAAGACATATCAGAGCGTTTATTGATGAAGGCAATGATGTTTGCACTGCCGATGAGCTTAAAGACGCATTATTATCGCATGGTGGATTGAAAGGTGTAAGAGTTGTTTCCCTTGATACGATCATCGAAACACCTGACAGTGGGCAAACTATTACTGGCATTACAAAACTGAACAATTTTGAGTTTAGCTCTACAGAGTCTGTTACCTGTTGGCGTGCGTATTGTGTTGGTCGCGGAAAAATCATCAATCCAGGATCTTCATCAAGTAAGTATGGGAATTAAAACTAAAAGTGAGCTACTGAGAATTAATGGATGAGTTGCCGCTAAATTTAAGTTCTGTATTAAAATGCAAAAGTGTAAGACCCTTACTTTATTGGAGAACCTTACCATACAATAATTATCTGCAAGTACATGTATCAGATACCTTTGGAGTCCCACACAATATTCTTGGTTCTGATAAATGAAGAAATGATTGTCGCAGTTGTAAGAGCAATTTAAAGAATTACCATTTTGTTCAATTTTTTGGGTGGCTTAAACGGGAAAACCCATAAGTTCTACGTACGTTAGCGCGGCAGCGATCTACTAACCGAGCTATGAATACCCATGTATTGGGAACATACGTTTATTTCTGTCATGTTTGCTTTAAAAACTTATAAATGATTTGAAAAAGAAATCAGAAAACAACTCTTTATTGGTATTAATTTATTTACCCAAGGTCCTCGATACCAAGTACTTCAGAAATCATTCTCCGAAGGAGATTTTACTTCCTTCCGATGTAAATCTGAAAAACAGGTTGGACAGACAGCTTCAACATCAGCAACTGTGGCCGAGCCATCTGGTGTCATTTCGGAAGACAGTGACCTATCCACAGGGGTTTATTCCTGTCCTCAAGACGGCTGCGTTCGTGTGTTCCAAAGAGTGTCTGCTTTAGAGAAACATCTATCTGTAGAAAAATGTTCCCGATCCCCGGATAAATATTCTCTAATGGATTTAGCGAAAATGGGGTACAAGACCCATTTGGAAGAAGGCGTTGGCATATTGCCCTCTCTTAAAGCCCCAGTTGCTCACCAGGAGGGTCACTTTGTATCAAATGAGGGATGGGCCCTCAGAGCAGCAAAGAAGGCGTATAGATTCAGCGAAAAGCAAAAGTCTTACTTACGGGCGAAATTCTCTATCGGTCAAACAACGGGCCGTAAGCTTGACGCCGAGGTTGTGGCGAGGGAAATGAGACGCGCCCGTGGAGCAGATGGTGTGCGACTTTTCCAGTCCTCAGAATTCCTAACCAGTTTGCAGATTGCGTCCTTCTTCTCAAGGCAAAGCGCTATACTACGGCAAAAGGACCCAGCAGATGAAGCCGATATCCGGGCATCTCAAGAGGAAGCTAACTTTAGTGCAGCGAAGGAGGTCGTTGAAACTATTCAGCTCAACCATCCTCTGGTATACGATCAGTACAACCTATGTGAGATGGCGCTCAGTGGTAACTTGAAAGTCCTCAAGCTACCGATGCTTCAGCGCTTGTGCGAGGATCTCGGCCTTGATGCACCTGTCCCGCCTGTGCGCAAGAAGGCTCCATACTTGGCAGTCTTAGAGGAAATAGCCAAAAAGTGCACATGCCGAAAGTAACTCTTTTATTAATAGCTTCCTGGAAGTGTTTTAGCCACAACCAGTTTTATAAAACGGGTTGAAAACGGGGAGAAGGGGTACTCCCTCAAAAAATTGCCAAGGTTCTACTGGTACCTCCTTCCCAGGTTCTCCCTCTTAGGTTGGTGCCTTTTAGAGGATGAAATCTGTGGAGTGGTATCGCCTAGGGTTCGACCGCAGCTGTAGCAGTACCTTTTAGGTTTTTTTTTAACTATGAAAATGAAGGGAACTGTTTTGGGGTTGAACTAAAGCCACTTACGTAATGAGAATATTGCGATCAGAGCCGCCTCCACAGGAAGTGGGACTAACCCCTCCTCCCCAAGTCTGAGAGTCAATGACAAAACAAACAAAACAAAACCAAAAAACAATATCAAAGAAAGCTCCCCTACCGGGATGAAGTAATGAAATTCATTTTATAACTGCGTTTAGCAAGACCTAAAACAAAGATCTTACTTTGAAAAATACCCTGCGAAAAATTTTTACTTCTAAACGTACTCCTTCCCCACCCCCATCGTGACAACATGTCAAAACGTTTATCCCGCGGGTGGGAAGTTATTGTTGTTGTTGTTGTTTTTTAATATTATTATTCCTACCGGTTCGTGAAAATAATACTTCGTTTTAGAAAAATACTAATTTGAGCAAAATTAACTCGTTTAAGTTTTAAGACCACGCTGGGTGGAAGGGAGAGGGTAACTGAGATTGCGTTACATTTACTGGACTCGAATATCAACATACGGTTTATGACAGAATGCCGTTTGTTTCGATTTCTTAACACATGTAGCCTTACGTGTTTCAGATACTAAACACAAAAACTGTTTGAAATTGTGAAAACTAACGTCGATTCAAACTCTCCCTGTAGTGGAAAATGGCTTTCAGCAACGTTGTATGATTAAATACCGCCAAAAGCTATAATATGGCACTTTGCCGGTTATTATTATTGTCGCGGTAATAACTAATTATTTCCAAAATTTCAACGATCTTTCCAGCAAACTACCTTCGTTTTTTTTAAAGTCATACAATTACTATTTCATTCAAAAAACCTTGGCGAACGATAAATATCTAGGAAAACGTCCTGGATGCATGGATAGTTTGACACAAAGGCGGCTGGTTTAACTGATTTATCAGGTTTGTTTACATTACCTTGCGATAACCAAAGTGGACTATCTACATCAAACTGATCTGTTCAAAGCACTGGATGTGTCTCCTATGAGCTCTTGGGTATTTCTATAAGCGGCAAACTTAAAATTGTCAAAGAAAAATTTAGTTTGATATTTTAACGCAAGTGATTGTAACTATAATGTTAGATGTTTGTTATAAATCCAGCGCCATTTTTGCACGTTAACATTGCTCAGAGTTTCGATTCCTTCGAAGGGAAGCGTTCCGAGTTCGACCTTGAAACTTTACTTGGTAAATCTTTAAGACCTATATTTTAGCTCTGCAATGCTTAATTGTTAAAAACTGACATACCAGGAACATTTTTATCCTGATGAATATTAGCTACATTTTGCCGCCATCGAAAGCGGTCTCCGAAGTTGTTTTCTAAATGGCCTGAAAAACCATTGTACTATCATATTTGAAAAGATTAAAACATTGGTAGTGTAGAAGATTGATTGCTTTGAAATTCTTGTTATTTTGAGGTCAACTGATTTTATTTTAAGACTTCGGCGGAGGTTCATCATCGCACCTTTTGATCAACCAAAAAACCGCACTTTGACCGCATTTTGACCGCACTTTTAATTTTTGCCAAATTTCCCAAGTAAACAAAATCGTTGGAACTTTTGAATATGATTTTTGAAAAAAGTCTACCCAAGGCTAACTTTGGGCAAAATATCAGGGATTCGCCGAATGGGTCGCTGACCGCCGATTCTCGATCCTTACAGACAGCCACTCTTAAGTTTCCAGTTGTAGTCTTACAAATCAACAGCAAAGAAATGTACAAAAACCAGGACTGTGTGCTGCACATGCAAAGTCGTTTTTTTTTTTTGCTAATTAGACTTACTGAGTTTTTTTTGCCGTTCTCATTGCCGTGGCCGTTTAGCATTGCATAATATCTTTTTTTTGTTTAGCTTTGCTCTTGGCCCAGGTTTCTTAATTTTGAGCAGACATACCATACCATATTTAGAGTTACCATATTTAGAGAGCATGGAAAAATGGCTCGTATACCATATCAGAGCTCTAGAATTGTATTATCCAATGATTCAGTTTTTAATAAAAAGTGCGTTAGCTCATTCTCTCTTGGTGAGCCCTAATAAGGGTGCTTTCCAAAAGTCAGAACTGGCCGGCCGGACCATGGACGGATCATTCATTTTGAGTGCCCTATGTTGTAATTTTGATTCCTGAACATAGCTTTTGCAATACTGTATGTGTTTGTATGGTCATGCAAATAAAGCTAGTTGTTGTTGTTGAAAGTGAAATAGACTTTTTCCAAGAGTTTTTTATGAAAAATGATTTCCTTCGTGCATACTATTAGGATTTGACTAATCTATCTGGATAGCATTGATTAAAAGTAAAATTCTCATTACGACGGGAATGTCCTGGCCGGTCAGCTCTGACAAGTGGAAAGCTCCTTTAATTCAAAGGGTTGGGCTTCTTTGAAGAAGGGAGCTAAAACGAAAATTTACTGTATCTATTAGGCTTACCCTGAGGATGTGGACGCTTATTCGAAGAAGGTGGAATCTGGGTATCTATTCTCAGACCCTCTATGTTCTATTTAGAGATCGTTGAGCGCACGCGTCTAAAAATAAAAACAACGTGGTTTTCATTGACTTCAAGTGCAAGGGAGTGCCGCGCTCGCTCTCGCCCGCTCACTTCGCTTTCGTGCAGTGCTCGCCGATTTTCCAAAAGAAAAAGAAAACAAAGTCTGTTAACAGACTAAAAGACAAGGGAAAACAGCATGTTCAGTTTTTACGTCACTAAAGCAAAAAGTACATTTTCTAGCCAGCTTATCTTTTCACAGTTTTTCCTGAGTTTCCCAAATGAAAGTGAGCAAAGGCAACCAGAGGAGGGGTAAGAGGGACAGAGGACAAATTTACCAGCAGTAGAGCATGTTTGGTTCAAGAATCTTTATCTGACACTCAGGTTCACACCCACTTACACAAACTATATTCAAAGCTTACCGATTACATCATGACTGTTTCACAAAATCGGATATCAATTGCTTGGGCACCCATTACATTATATAGTATAAAGAGAGTCGAATAGACGCTTTGAATTGTCTTAAGCAAAGAACAGACATTGTCTGTATTTTACGAGCCGTTATAGTCAGGTATTCCTTTTCAGTGTAGCTCTGGCCCTGAGAAAGGCTTATTTGTTAGCCGAAAGATTGGACTCAAATATATCAGTCCTTTGCTGTATTGCCAGCCTTGCATTCAGTTTTGTGTTAATTGTCTGTATAGCCCTGTATAGCTATTGTTGCAAAGGAGTCTAAACAACAAGAACCGTGAGTCTATACAAAGTATTTGTCTCGAGAATCAACGGAAATGCTTGTCTATTGTAATAGTCTTTTGTATGGGCTGCCCAACTACCAGCTTAACAAATTGCAGAGAGTTTTGAATGCCTCAGCCTGGCTAGTTTGTAATGTCCCTAGGTTTTGCCACATCTCACCCCTTCTTCGTGGTCTGCATTGGCTTCCTGTTAAAGCCCGGATACAATTTAAGATACTGCCAGTATTACATTCAAAGCAATTCAAAGCCTTGCTCCTAAATATCAATGCGATTTACTAACATTTAAATCGTCCTTATATAACCTTAGATCTTCAGGTAGTATTTTACTTTCGAAGACGTCAAATGGGGTGGCAGGGGATAGGGAGGAAAGGAATGCTAGTTTATAGCTAGCAGTTTAGTCAGTAGCTAGTCCGTCCGGAACTGAAGGGACTGGGTTCGATACCTGCCATCGATTTCCTCCTGTGGAAAATTTTAACCGCTATTCTTAAAAAAGGCACACCGTAAACATTGCTCTAGCGATCCTCTCTTGCCACAATTTGTCTTGCAGAGTGTGTCAATATCGTGTTTTTGGACTTCACGTGTCTCGTCTAATGCCACGTGGACCCTCTTTTAGCCTTTCTTTTCCATCCTGAAAAGGTTCTTAGAGGCCTAAAAAGGAAAAAAACTTTTTATTTTATTCAAAAGCAACTGCTCTTTTCGTCTCCATGTGTCTTTTAACTGTAACGAGAAATATTAACTGTTGAAAGTAAATTTGTCTCCGCTCATTGAGACCTTCCTGGATCGGTCGGGCGACGGGAAACGAGGCACTATATGAGCATGGCCCTACGGGTCGTCAACATCCTGTTAACAGCTTTCAAATTTGTTCGAACAAGATACCACTAATCAATTTGTTACAAAAATTATTTATGATAAATAAAGTGCAATTTTAAGCTTAATCGAAGACGCGAGTGTCTGGGCAGGATTGCGTTTCCTCCGGCCCTCTTGGTTTTCTGTTATTTTGTATCACTTACAATTGAACCTTCATTAGACGCTCACCTATTAAGCGGCCACCCTCTATGAGTAGTAGTTCGAGTCCAGAAATAACTATAGAAAAGAATTGCAAGTGGCCACCTCCATCAAGACAGCAAAGGGCCCTTTTGGCCATCCCGATGAGAGTTCTCCTATTGTTGTGTCATGCGCCTGGTACACTTTGCTAAGCTCTACTTTTAAAATATAATGAAGGATAATACAGTCAGAGACAGAATGTGACTACAGATTGTGGGCCAGTAATGCTGCTCCAGTCGCGTGTTTGTTAAAAAAAATGATGTTTCTGCCAAAGATTATGCTAATTTATGACAAGCCTCTATTGAAGGTGGCTGCTCAATCGAGAGTCGAAATGTTCTCAGAAAAAAAGGATGAAACGACGCTAATCTTTTCACTTTCGAAGCGCCTACACCCAACGCAAACAAGGAAATTCAGTCAGTGGTAGCATACATTTCCCAGTTGTAACGCCCTTCCCGAAAACAGCGATTTCTCACCGGCCAATTTTAAGCTAAGAAG